AAGCTCAATGAGAAGTCCACTAGTTTTTAAGCTGGTCAGTGTGGTTTGTTGATTGTTTGGGCCTCAAGTGAATAAACAGGGAGAAGATGAAGAAAAACAGAGTGAGAATAAGATATAGCAAGCATGAACAAGAGGAAGAGGAAGTGTGTGTGTGTGAGAGAGAGAGAGAAAGGATTACAAAAAAAGAAAATCGTACACAAAATAATTGATACATGTTTGCTATATCAATTGTCGTTATTGGTTAATCTATAAATATGATGTTGGGCTCCATGTTCCGAGGATGACACTTCAAAAACGAAGGCGATACACAATAGAGTGTCCTGTGTTTCCCTGTTAGTTATAACTTGGAGAATTGTAAAATTTTCTAGCACAGAGTTCATCATATATTTTTCCGGCAAGTCCTTCAGTTTATGAATAAAATTAATCATATATTCACACATGGGTGATTTTTCAATACGATAAACGTTCCTTCCATTTTCATAAGCTGGATATTCAACCTGTTGCCATAAGAAAATAAAATAAAACGGAAAATGAAGTATATTAAAAGCAAATGTATCAAGAAGCTTGAAATAATGGGCAGTTTAATACTGGATTTGTCAAAGTTAAACCTGTATCAATGAAGTATTAATGATGAGCAGCTTGTCAATAGTTGTCCATTGTATAAAACTTGAAAGAATAATATTAGCAGTTTGAAAAGAGGAAGAGAAAAACAGCACTAAACGAGCAAACTAGTTAGGAGCTAAAACAAGGAGAGAGACAAGAAGTAAACAAAATGAGTTTTTTGGGGGTTCATTTATTAGCTACTAACTCAGCTCAAGTAGTCATATACAGAAAAAACTCAAAAATATCCGCCGCGCTCTTGATCATATGTTTAACTTATTTTGCCATCTTACTGCGATAATCACAGAAAGTTGCCAAAATTATGACAATCACTAAATCGACAAACTGACATGATTAATTTAAATTGCAATGATTAAACTTATTTGAAATATTAATAAAATAGATACTCACCTCAACCTTTTCAACCACTTGTTTACCAAAAGAACAAACTTTTGTGGAACAAGTTATCACCATACTTTTCGCTGATTCGAACATGGCAGTAACTCCATAAAAGGCATTCTCGAACATAAGATCTTGAGGAATACTTAGATCAGCCTAGAATAGAAAACGAAAAAAAGATTGATTAGCAGAAAAAAAATGGATAACGAAATATCACAAGATATTGCTTGATCGACAAGAAATGAGTATGCAATACTAATCCAAACTAGGTAAAAAAGATAACAGATATTTGTGAACACTTTCAACTTATTTCCAATGAAACAGAAAAAAAAACACCGCGAGAGCAAGGTCAAGAAGCAAAGTCATATGGCTGAACTTTCATATACTTATTGAACTTTCATCTCATGATCAATGTGAAGTACTTGGGAAAATCAAGGGCATCATTCAATTTGCACTGTTACTTACCCAAAACTTAACTAAGAAGAAAGCGTTCTGAGGACCTTTATCATACAGTTCTTTGAGACCTTCTTTGTTTTGAGGAAATTTATCACTAATTTGGCGAATATCGATGTCTTCCAAAATTGGGTCAGAACACGAAGAAGGCCCGCCGATTTGAACAAAAATATGCTTGGTTGCTTGAGCACCGGATCCGATTTCAAGAAAGGCTGTAAATTCACAAAGTCTCAATTCGTGTGTAGCTATGCATCTATCATCAAATGAAGGGACATTATAATTGCTGAGAACATTATATTGAAGAGTAGAATTGGATAACGAGTTGGATGCACTGTTGAAAGTTTTAAGTTCATTGAATGGTTTAATATCGACGGTGGCTGTTGGACCGACAGCAGGCTGCCAAAGTTGTGTCTTGAATAGGAAAAGCACAAAGAGAGAAGAAAATAAATGAGAAAGGTATAAAAAAGACATAGAAACAACTTTACCTTCAGTTTAGATTGCATTTCCCTGGCTTTCCTCCGAGCAAGCACTTGAATATGGCTGGATACTTGTTTTCGCGTACGAGTTTTACCAGTACGCAATTTTATGTAACGAGCTATAAGCTCATTGCGTCCATACATTTTACCTTCATCAGAAAGTATAATTTTACGTCGACCACAAGGTGGATAAATGGCAAGAGCTTCTTGAAAGCTTTGTTCAATGTCAGCAGACCAGACACCTTCAGCATCTGAGTTTGAAGTATTGTGAATATCTCCTTCCGATGATCCATCTTTACTTGAATCATCATCATGAGAATCCATTGATGGTTTCATTTGTTTGAAGCGAAACAATCGTCAATTGATCAAGAATGAGGACAAAGAAAACAGAAACGGGTGTACAAGGTAGATCTACTATTTTTTGATACAAAAGGTAGGTTTGAAGCAGAAAAGGCATAACCTATCCAGCCACTATTTCATCAATGATCTTTCCTCTGTTGCGCCATCTTTTTATCCTCAAAGTAAATCTTTCTATTTGCCCGCCATCTCCTGGCGTATACAAGGTTTCATTGTATTATTTTGCTTTATTTTAACGTCTTTTTTAATTTAATTTCAAATTTCAATTTCATTAACTTTATAAAACTGATCTCAGACAGTTTATCTATACAAACATTTAATTAACTCTCAAGAACTCCAACTGAAAAGCTTTTAAAAAGAAAAATGGAAAGCTGTTTTTGTCAAGTTTGTAAAAATGTAAACCTGAAAACTTGAAGAAATGTATTTTTATAAAGTGTTGATAAAAGTTAGTGTTCACATTGTTATTGCTGAATTTTATTCATTGAATATCTGTCAACTGATCTAACCAGCCAAGTTTTTATGACTACAAACTGGATATTGTATTTATTGCTTCAGGCTCATCGTTTTCTTCCATATTCAAATCTTGTGGTAATCATTTATTGATTTGTGTATAACAAAATCTATCCATACATTTATAAATCAATGACACGACTTTAACAAGAAAGTAATGATCACAGTATGAAATACAGATTTAACCGGCAAAAAAAGTTTCAAAATTACAATAACAATTTGTGTAACCTTCAGAATAATAGTTTATAACGATTCTCATTGGCGCGTAAAACCAATAACAATTGTTGATCATCAGTCAACCTCGTGGACCAGTTTTTTGCCTTTATTTGATAATTAATTGCTTGTTATAGCTAATGGCCTCATCTTCAGTTTCAGCTTTAATTAAAACTCATCAACCTCAAGTCAACTTTTCGATTATTTCCTATTTTTCTCTTTTCTATTTTTTATCCATTTTTTTCATTACTCTTATTTTTAGTCTTTTCCAGTACTGTTCTTGTAGTTAACTGTACACATAAAACGCAATAGGAAGGCCATTGAATGGGCTGTGACAATTGAAGCTAATAATGTTTGACAATCTGTCAGACTAACTGTTTACTATGATCGTCTTTTTTTTTGTCCGGTGTTTGGATAAAGTTGAGCAAAAAAGTTGTAATTGTTGTTGAACAAAACAAAAGCTAAGATTAGAGGTTACTCTTGCAGGGTGATTTGTTTCAATTTTTAGTTAATTCAATATGAGTGCCAATCAATCACAATTTGTCTTGTTAATGATGAACTTTAAAGTATCTCATGTAATTGACAAGATAATAATAGCTAATACCGGTTACATTGCTGGTGGTATCAAACGATCGTGTGCTTTTATACCAACAATATTAGTAGCAATTTTTCTGAATGTCACCCATTATCCAGTTTACAGTCATATCAAAGGTAATAATTTGAGAAATGAATTATCACTTAATTTTACAGCAAATTTCAATCAATTCAGAGATTTTCTTTACCATTACAAGAAACCTCTACAAAACTTAACACTGGGCTTGAGTTATAATTGTTTCATTTCATCATCCTGAGAAATAATAAAGTTAAAACCAGTTCTTATAAGCTTCTGTAAGTTTCGTGTTAAAATATCATTGAAACTGGTAAAGATTTTAATAAGTCAGTCTAATTGTTGAAAGATATGTTTCCTAGTCACGAAAGTTTAGATTTGTAATTTGTTTTTAGGCAATGTGTTTAAAAGCCCTTTTCATTATCAACCTCTGTTATAACCTCTTTATCAAAGTTCATCAATCAATCCACAGACTCAATCATTTATTTTATCCAGATCACATTGAGTTGTAATAACCCGAGTCAATAGACAAGATTTTGTATTATAGCTTGAAATAAGAGATCTGATGAATGTTTCATTTCAACAAATATAGTTAATTTTTGTGTTAAATTTTGTTTTAAAAGTAGCGTACAATTTTACAGGCAATAAAGGATGATGAACATTAAGATTTTTTTGCATATTATAGTTGATTAAAGTTTAATTCAACGACAACGAGTCAAAAGATAATTGATTGTTTGATGAGAGTGTGATAAAGTTGATGGGATCTAAGGATAAAAACAGAAAAGATAAAACATGGCGATGAATATGATAGTCGAAACAATATCATGCTAAAATATAGATAGTTAAAACGCATATCTCAAAAGGACAGTACAATTGATGATGTAATGGTCAACATTAAAAGCGATTATTTGACAATGATACAAAAAAGTAGATAATGGTGATGACAGCATTTAAACTTGAAATTGATTGAGGTGCGTTTTAAAAAAATATAATGGTAAGTGATCTTGATGCGTTTTTTTTCATTAAAAACAAAAGTTGATTAAAAAATGAATGATCAATCTAAATTGTTTCATTCATTCGCTCTAGTTAAAATCATTGATTATCTTGTTGATTCACCTTTTTTTCGAAGGTTTTAGGGACAAGATTTCCCCAATTTTTTCCAATCTTGATATTTACAGGCATTTTAACGGTTAGATATTTCGCGCACTTTTCCATACAACCCTTGATTATACGAGCACAGCGATCAATCTGTGAATCTTCAATTTCAAAGATTAACTCATCGTGAATTTGAAGAATCAATGATGCATCCAATTGCCGACTGGTTAGTTCTTTATCAATTTTAACAATTGCCATTTTGGTTATATCAGCAGCTGATCCTTGGATTTTAGTGTTTAAAGCTTGTCTTCCTTGTTTACTGATTTCGGCATAACGAGGCTTTTCTTCAGGTATTATAAAACGTTTTCGTCCATTTAATGTTTTAACAAAACCCTTTTTCTCGAAATCAATTTTGCAAACATCGATAAATTCTTTCAGACTTGGGTAAGTATCCAAGAAATTTTTTTTGAATTCGGTGGCTTCAGTTTCAGTTATTTCCAATTGATGGCCTAATTCTCTTGAGCCCATTCCATAAATAATTCCATAGCAAATCTGTTGAAGAATAAATTATTATAAACATTATTGACTTGAAATTTGATCAAAATAAATAATAGGTAGGATTAAATGAATAACTTACTCGTTTAGCATTTGATCGCTCTCCTTCATCTACTTCTTGGAGAGGTTTTACGTACAATTGACTAGCTATGGTTTTAAAAACATCTTCACCTCCATTTAGAGCTTCCAACAGTAATTTATCTTTAGAAAAATGGGCTAATATCCGCAGCTCTAATTGACTAAAATCAGCTGACAGTAAAGAGTAATTTTCTTTGGCTTCAAAGTTTTTGCGAATGTTGACTTGGACTTTTTCATCATCCAATTCTATCGTAAATGGTTTAGATAGAGCAAGTAGATTTGGTTCAATCAATTGTATTCGGCCTGTTACTGTCCAGTGTTGGCAGTTTCCTGAAACTCTCGGTAGAGATATTTTTTCATTTAAATCAGGTCTAACAGCTGCAATGATATTGTTTGAACATTCAATAACATATGAAAGTTGACGTTCATAAAGAACATATTTAGGAAAAACATCAAATTCAGCAAGTTTTTTCAAAATTTTTTTGTTCGTCTTCAAATGATCGGGTAGTTTTCGTGATACAATAGCTGAACTAATAGCTCTACGTGGTTGCGCTTCACTGGTTAAATAAGAGAGAAGATTGAGCTTTCGATAAAGTATATGTGATAGTTCTGAAAGACTGTCAATATTATAATCTTCACCATCGATTCGCTTTTGGCCCAAACTATGAATTTTGTCTTTAAGGATTGCCCAGATGTTTGATTCAGCATTTAATTGTTTCTTATTCACTCCGAATCCAGTTAATTCCATCTCAGATAGAATTGTGATTACTTTCATTTCAATTTGATCAAAGTATGTAGTTAAATTCATTGAGGCAATTTTATCAGCATAAATTTCCTGTAAACTGAGTGAATTAGCGGCAGAGTAGCAAATTTCATCGAAAGAGTCAGATCGCTGCAAAATTTTTTGTAGAACAACATTCTCTTGACAGCAAAACAAAGCTAAGCAGCTACTGGGTTCAGCATTTTCTGGATCAAATAGCCATTTAGCTACTTTTAAGTCCCACCAGACAATATTCTGGAGTTCAGGTCTTGATAGATTAAAACATTTTCGGAAGACTTTGTAAGCAGAATAAAGATTAAACACAACAATAGTCACTGGTTGAGTCAATGATTTTATAAATAAAGACATTTTAGTGGCGAATGTTGCTAACATCGTTTTGCCTTCTACGCTGAAAACTTTGCGTCCATCTAAACTTATAGCAACTTTGGTAAGGTGAAAAAGTTTGTTGTAAGACAATTCCAGTCCATCGACATCTGGTTCTGATATTGATCTGTTGAAATTTATCTCTTGTATTGGAGCTTTATAATGCTCAAGTTCAATAAAGAATGAAAACGTCTTGACATCAGCTTCTAAAGAAATGAAAAATTTCTCCATTGAGATTGTATCATCGAGATCTTCAATATAAGGTGCTTTAAAAGACTGATTCAAGTGTTCATTGGAGGCTCTACGTGAACTATTTGGCACATCATCAGCGATTTGACCAAGGTGCTGAGGCGATGGATCATTGTTAAACAGTTCTTGGTCAATTCTCTTGATCTTGGCTTCTTCAGTAAGTAAATCACCAACAGGACTTGTAGTTCTTTTCATTGGTTTTTCATTAGTTTCGGAGTCACTTGGTTGAAGGACTGGACTTGACCTTACATTAGACAATTCGGGTGATCCAACGGAAAGAAGAGTTCTACCTTCTTCATGAGAAGTGTTACTAGAACTAGGCTTTGCATCAACCGTAGAACTACAATTTTCTTGAGATCTATCTGCCTTTTTGTGTATCACATTTGCAAGTAAATTATCACGCTGTATCATTTTCTGAAATTGCTTGATTGAACGATTTTTGATTACTTTTGCTTTAGTCATTTTTAGTGATTTTGAACGGGACAAAACGGATTTTTTCTTCTTAAAAGATTTACTTTTACTTTTATCACTTTTTTTACTCTTTTGTGAATTATCGTCAATCATTAGATCATGACTTTCCATATCCTCGTCTTGATCCCAGCCAATTTTATAGCCAAGATCTCCTTCAATAATATTTCTGGATTCCTCGATAATAAGCTTAGCTAATTCATGGTTGTTAACATAACGACACACACCTCCAATCCAAAGTTTACGCTGAGTTTCAGTAGATTCAGAAGTCATACGAAAAGGGCCGGCATTGGTGAGAAGCCGTTCAATTGCAAGAATATCACTTCTTGCTAATGAAATTACAGTTGAATAACCAGATTGATAGAGGAATCGTGCAATATCTACAGTTATTGTTGATATTCGCATCAAATCGACTAACTCGCGCTGAATACCGAATTGAAGCCGATCTTGATATTGCCCAATGATTAATTCGAGATTGTTGTAGCCTAGTTTCTGGCAAAACATAGTGATTATACCAGCGAATGTTGCGGCACTTTGTTGAACTGCTTGGAGCTCTCCGCGAGGAATTCCAAATTTCTCTGCTACTTGTCTTAATGGCGTTTCTTTCACAAGTTCAGCTAAAGCAAGAGCAAAATAGAATCTTATGTGTAGCTTGGTAATTGCGTCGAATGTGTAAGTAGAGGATATAGATTTTTTCTGTATGAAACGAGCATTTACACCAACAATTTCAGAAACTTTTAGAGTCTCTTCATCTAAATCAATAAATATGTTGTAATATTTTTTCCAATCTATTCTTTCTTTATCACCTAAAGGTAAAGTAACTTCAAATAAGATGTGTAAATCACTATTTAACACGAAAGCTTTTCGAGCTTTTTCCAATTCTTGGACATAATAAAGAGCTTGCTGAGGATTAATCGATGATGCCAGAACAGCTTTTCCTAATTTAGATGATTCATAGTGAGAGCTATTAGAGAAACGCACAAATTTGTGATCCACAAGATAGTTCAGCACTTCATTGACAAGTTCAAATGGCATCGGTCTTAAAGATGCAAAATAAGTTGAATTAAGGTAGTCACTGATGTCATCAAAAGTGATTGTCATTTCACTAGCGATGGCCTCGAGAATGGCACGTTTAAGACTTTCAGTCATGGAGAATGTTTCAGATGATGGACTATTGCCGATTTGAGCAGAAATAGTTATTTTCATTAAATTTGAATTAATTTCTCTTAAGGCACATGTGACCAACTTTCTACCAATTTCCTCTTCATCAGGAGTACACATTAAGATACTTTCTCCTCTATCATCGATTCCTTTTCTTCCTGCTCTACCAACCATTTGTTTATAAGTCATTATATCCATCATGTTATTCATAAACTTTGGTGATGCAATGACAACTCGACGTGCAGGTAAATTAACCCCAGCTGACAATGTTGAAGTTGCCATTAGTGCTTTAATTATCCCTCGACGAAATCCATCTTCAATTATTTCTCTCTCTTCTTGGGACAATCCTGCATGATGATAAGCAACTCCATATGGCACAATTTTAGCTAACAATGGCTCTGCTGCAACTTGGGTACGAGACAATTGCGAAACTAAGTTTATTGCAGCATCTTTCTTTATAACTTCAGATAATTTTGATTTGATACTTTCATCATAACTGCGATTAATTGCTGCCAATAACATAGCAAAATCACGAGCGGTAGTTTCACACTTCAGTTTAGTTGGACAGAACATTAAAACACCATTTCCATCTAAAACAGTTTCAAGAACAAGGAATAATGATTTATCTCGTAATGTTTTCTTGTCAGCCATCATATCGAACCCATAAGTTGGTGGAAGGCCATGCGATTCTGTCAATTCTGGTGCAACATAAATTTTATCACCAAATTGAACTTTTTCTACCAATGGAATCGGACGGAAGTTTGTAATATATAACTTTGCATCTAACCATGTTGCTATGTCATTTAAGTTGGGTACTGTGGCACTCATGCCAACAATCTGGATATGTTTATTTTTCTTTCTTGATAGATATAATAATTTAGCAAGTAAAAGTTCTAAATAAAATCCTCGACTAGAATCACCAAGCATATGAAGTTCGTCAACAATGACTGATCCAATGATTTCTATATTATTCTCCTCAATCAATCTGAAAGATAATACATGAATTAATTTTTTTGAACATTGAAAATAAAATATGAAATGAAATAAAATGCAATACTTATTAATAAAGTTGTTGGCCTTTTCGATTGTACAAACAGCAATTGAGCAAGCAGCTAAACCTCCAGGTGTATGTTGATTCCCCATAAAACCTCCAACACGGATCTTCGTTGATCTAAGCATACTTTTGAGCCCGATTACGCGTTCTCGACTGACAGACACAAAAGGTAAAATAACAATCGCTTTTTTTCTGTGTTCTATAACTTTCTTCATCATCAATATGTCAGAGACAATTGTTTTACCGGCAGAGGTTGGAGCAGAAAATACCAAATTTCCACCTTCAATAACACCGGGCTTAGTAAGACATTCAACCTGAATATAAGAGAATTGATTAATAATCATTTTTATAAATCAATATTGTATCTCACATTACCTGCCATCTGAATAAACAATTAATTCCTTTACTTCTATAATAGCGAATCATAGAAGGTGGTAAGTTCCATGATTCAAGAGAACACAATTTTTCGATATCCAAAGATTCAACATGGTTCACATCATTAGACGAGTTATGAGTAAAACTAGGCACTAAGTTATCTTGCTTCTGGGCTCTGATCTCAGAAGCAGTAACCAATGTTTGCTTTCCTGAAGCATTTTGATTTTGAGTGCTGAAGTCGATTAATGTACTTTCCTATAAATGAGAAAATATAAAAAAAAATGATAATTAATTGTAGATATTCAAGTAAATCGTTTATCAGAATAAGGTTAGAGCTATTTACTTTTGGTTCAAGCTTTTTTATATCAAATCGATGTGGGTTTGACTTTTTAACCCGACCAAAAGAGCCTAAAGTTGACATTTTGTCATTCATAGTTGAATTGGGATAACATCATGCAATCCTGTAACAAAAAGATTAGTTTTTTAATCAAGTTAAAACAAACGGTAACCTTGGATAAATCATTAATGTTCAACTGTGGGCACGAAATAGTAATCAAGATAAAGACAAGATCAACAGACAAGATCAACATAGAAATAAATGTTGAAAGTTTATTATTTGCGGAATCTCTTAAACAATGGATGCCTGGCTTCATAATTTTTAGCTTTAGATTTATATTCCATGTAAACATTATCATCAGCTCCCGAAATTGAGCCGATATTCCCAACTCGTCGAGTTGCTTGGGATCCAGATGGTTTGGCGAATGGATCACCAGGAACCTTTTCTTCTTCTGCTTCAGACTCATTTGCAGCCAATACTTGATGAAGAAGTTGTTGTTGTTCATCTTTATTTGAGTAAAGCAATTCCTCTTCATCTATTCCCTTTAGTTTGGTAATAACTTTGAAAGCATAACCCTGATTGACCAAGAAACTTTGTCGTTTTCGAGCATAATGCATTTCAAGAGTATCTTGAGAAACAAGAGAATAGAAGAAAGCGTTGTAATCTTCAGCTATAGCTCCTTTTTTAGCTCTTAAAATTCTACCAAGACGTTGGGCTTCTTGTCTTCTTGATCCACCATGACTAGATATTTGAATTAGTACATTAGCTTCCGGAAGATCGAAAGAAGTGTCAGCAATTTTAGAGACAAATATCGTGTTGACTTTCGGATTGTACTTGAAATTTTGTAAAATTTGCATCCTCTCTCCTTGAGAAGTTGGACCGTAAATGTAAGGTCTGAAAATTAAAACAATTAGATAAGAAATTATTGAAGAGTGTTCGGATTTATTGATTGAAGTAAAACTACTTACTTGTTCATTTTGATAGCATAGTGTTTCAAGGCGAACACATTATCAGAGAATACAATGACTTTGTCATTACGCCTCTCATGATGACGAACCAAGAATTGACAGGCACGAAATTTGTTCGGATTCATTACATAAAGAAGCTGTAAATATAAATAAATGAATATTAGCAAATAATAGATTTAGTTATGTATCAATTAATTAATGTTAAAAAGGTTTAAAACTTACCATCTTTTTACATGTTCTAGTAGCTAAATATTCTCGATAAAATTCTGGCGTCATTGGACACCAAACTTCGGCACATTGTACTTTAGCGATATACCCGAGAGATTCCAATTCATGCCAGTTGGCTTCATAAAGTTTTGGTCCAATAAGAAAATTTAAATCTTGAATTTTGTCATCTTCTCTGACTAAGGTTGCAGTCAAACCAAGTTTACAATGAGCTTGGACAATGGTTAAAACTCTTCGAAACATTTTGGCTGGAATGGTGTGTACTTCATCAAGAAGCATCATTCCCCATTCTTGTTCTTTCAACCAGTTCATTACTTGTTCGGCTTCCCAGCTTCTTTTTTGAGTGTGTGTAATCATAGAATAAGTTGTAATGCAAATACCACAGTTTAAAGGTTTATCCTTGGCATCAGAAGTAAACCTACAGATGATACTATCATCAGCAGTTGACCACATTTTGAACTGTGAGAATGAAAAATTTAAATATTTAATATCCGTTCACGTAATAATGTTCACTTTCTGGAATGATAATATTCTAGATAAATAATAATCTTACTTGAGCTTTCCACTGTTCAACGGAAACACCAGAATTACACAAGACTAAACATCTTTTTCGAACAGTACAACAAGCAGTTACACCAACAAGAGATTTACCAGCTCCACAAGGCAATACGATAACACCGGATCGAGCTCTACCGTTACCAAACATTTTACGCAAGCTTTTTTCTTGGTAGGGACGAAGAACAGCTGAAGGCTTGAGGTCTATATTAATATTTGGATTTACAGTGTCGTTCTTAAAATCATATTCAGCAAGGAGAGGGTACTCAAGTTGGATACATCGCTTTTGCAGGTTTTCAATTTCTTCTTGCTTAACTTCGAAGGAAACAGTTTGGAGAGTCTCATTGTCATCGTCATCTTCTTCATCGACTTCCATTTTTTCAATGAAATTATAAATATCATCAGGGACAGCGGATTGAGGATTTTGAGATGTTTCTCCATTCTCTGGCTTTCCATTATCCCCTGACTTGCTATTCATAACTTCAATCGCAGAAGACTTTTTGTGAGATTCTCGGATGAACTCTTCTTCATCTGTATCCCGTCTTAGACGACACTTCTGTATTTCCGGATCCTTGAGAAGCTTTTGCAAAATGTGCTGAAATGAAAAAAATTAAAGGTAAGCACAAAAACCAAATAATAACAAGTGCGGATCAACTTACTGTGTGTGGACTTTCAACGAAATAACGATTGTGTTTCAATACCAACTTAACTTTTCCATAGCTAAGCGTACATAACTGTAAGAAATAACGCAATAAAATTGAGATATGGCAAATTGAATAAGCAGCTAAATAGACATACCTTAATAAATTCAACAATACCCTCTGGAATGGTAGTTTTACAAAGTCTTCTTAAGTATTCGATAATATCATCTGTTTGTAAGCCTACGGATACAGCAGCATATAGAGAATAAGCTGTCAACTTGTATTCATGGACATGTTCTGGCCGAGAAACTGGCTCAGCAATAGCGATAAGAAAATCATGAGCGTGTTTATATACAGGTGAAAAGGTTTCAAGAAAAATGTGACCATCAGGAGCCTAAGTAAAGAGAATAAGCCAAACCCGAAATTAGTCAGTTTACAAACACATGGAATATAATCCATGATAGAGTTGTCTTTTGTAACATAAGTCAGTAATGACTCATAACATATGTCAGTCATAAATGATGAAACATACCACCCACAAGGGTCTAGCGTCATGGTCAGGTCTCAATTGAAGCTGAGGCCTGTAATCTTTAGCTCCAAATTCATCACACTCTACACCATCGATGATTTTTTTACTGGCAGCTTTAGGAATGGAAACATCTAAAGATAGGAAAATAACAAGAGGAAAAATTACTATTAAACACACAAAAGCATACAAATTAAATTAAATTAACTTACCGACAGTCTCGTCTTCGTCGTTATCATCAATGGGATCTTCAAAAGCTGCAGCCTTCTTTTTGTAGCTTTTGTCTAAAAATGTAAAGCCATGTTATTTCGTGATCTAGGGTATAAATTGACTATAATGACGACTTACCTTTCTTACCCATGATGACTAAGAATTAAATAGAATCACAATCAACTATAAATACTGAATATTCACAGTTAAGTAAGGAAGCAAAATGACAAATTAAAACAAAATACAAAACGCGTGAAGTGAAATTGAAAGAAGCCAGGGAAAGGTTAACAATAAAAAGGAGAGCTTCTCACTGAAGTGGAAGAAAATTTCTCCGATAAAAATATTTTGACTTTAAAAGTGACCACAGTTGAAACATTAATGATTTATGTAAATATTATAAAAATGTAAAAATAAATTAAACTCACCAACTTCAACACTTAAAAGTGATTATTGTAAATATTAAAAGGTAAGGCCTTCAACCGGCCAAGTTAAAATGAAAGAAGCAACACTGATCTCCCTTTAAAGCAAAGAAAATCCAGTTACAGTTGATCCCAATTAACTAGAAGATGTTGGTAAACAATGTTAAAATGCCAAAGGTTATGTTGATTAAAATGATGAACTGTAAAGAGCAACCAAAAGTGATTGTTAAAGGTTAAAGGTTATTTTAAATTAACAATATAAAATAAATATATTTACAATTAAAAAGAGAGGTTTTATAACAAACCCAAGAACCTAATGCAACCAATTGAAACCTAAAGCTTTAAGGCTCACTGAATCTCTTAGCTTATTAGAGTTACACAAAAAGGCGCCAATCAGATAGACAAGAGTACAAAGGGAATGTAACGATACGATGGTTAACCAAAATTAATTATTTCGATGAAACATTAATTTTTTCACATAAATCACACTTGAAAATCCAATCTTCATAAAGAAAGCAATCTCCAATTGTTGAGAGGTTTTTAATTTCACTATTCCTAATGTTTCAAAAACTTATTCACTCATCCGGGTAAGCACTTGATCGAATAACACTAATAGAGAAACGATGAAATCAACTAAAAGCTATTAGCTAATAGATGTTGCTATTAACTTAACTGTTGCTATTATATTTTCTGAATGTTTATGATGAAACAAAATATACTTACATTATTTTTCTCACGAAACTTGTGGCACTGTTTGCTAAAAGATCAATTTAAAATGATGACTTATGTTGCTGATGATTAATTTAAACTAATTAGATAAATTTAGAAAAACATCACAGGTCAACATGCTTGAGAGAAGCTTGAGAACTCAACAGTTTTACTTAAATATGGAGTTTCATCTAAAGTAAAATAACGCTTACGGAGTAAGCTTCCAGTAAAATCCTAGGATGCTTCCTATTCGCCAGAACGATGTTGAAGATCTCTCATCCAGCCCACTCATACCTCTGCATGACTTTTTAGTGATTTTTCAAATGGATTAGCCTTAGGCAAATATCTCGTCAAGTAAGTTTTTTGTTGTACACTATGATCGTTCTTGTATTAAGTTTTTTTTATTCAATAAGCTCAAGAGTTATCTCACAGTTGTCAGTTAATATATCACAATTTTTATTTAACAAGAGATGAAATTAACACTGATTCATTCAGTTTTAAAGCTTTCCATAAAATGATGAATACTCGATAAAAAGCTTAAACATATTTTTCATCGACTTAAAGGTTTGTAGCATCCAGCAACTTGGAGTTGAGCAGCTTGAAGCTCCAGCTTGAGTGCATTTGGTTTAGTCGATTTTGATTTTAAACGTGACAACGTTTTTTTCTTCTTTTTGAAAGGTTTACTTTTACTTTTTCCACTTTTTTTACTCTTTTGTAAATTATCTACAATCATTTGATCACGAATTTCCGTATCCTCATCTTGTTCCCAGCTAACTTTATAACCAAGATCTACTTCAATGATATTTCTGGATTCCTCGACGATAAGCTTAGCTAATTCATGACAGTCAACATAACGGCAAACATCTCCAATCCAAAGTTTACGCTGTGTTTCAGAAGATTCCGATGCCATACGAAAAGGGCCAGCATTGGCAAGAAGTCGTTCAATTGAAGGAATATCACTTTTTGCCAATAAAAGTACAGTTGAATAACCAGATTGGTAAAGATATCGTGCAATAGCTACAGTCATTGATGATACTCGCATTAAATCAACTAATTCACGCTGAATACCAAATTGGAGCCGATCTTGATATTGCCCAATAATTGTTTCAAGATTGTTGTAGCCTAGTTTTTGGCAAAACATTGTGATTATACCAGCGAATGTTGCAGCACTTTGTTGAACTGCTTGGAGCTCTCCGCGAGGAATTCCAAACTTCTCTGCTACCTGTCTTAATGGTGTTTCTTTTACAAGTTCAGCTAAAACAAGAGCAAAATAAAATCTAATGTGTACCTTGGCAACTTCATCGAATGTGTTACCAGGAAATAAAGATTTTTTCTGTAAGTAGTGAGTATTTATACCAATGGTTTCTGAAACTTTGCGAGTCTCTTCATCTAAATCCATAAATATGTCGTAATATTTTTTCCAATCTATTTTTTCTTTATCACCTAAAGGTAAAGTCACTTCGAATAAGATATGTAAATCGCTATGCAACACGAACGCTTTTTGAGCCTTTTCCAATTCTTGGGCATAATAAATGGCTTGATCAGGATCAATCGATGATGCCAGAACAGCTTTTCCTAATTTGGTTGAAATATAATGCGTGCTATTAGAATAACTCACAAATTTATTTTCCACAAGATAGTTCAGCACTTCCGAGACATGTTCAAATGGTATTGGTCTTAAAGATGCAAAAAAAGTTGAATTGAGGTAGTCTTTGATGTCATCAAAAGTGATTGTCATTTCACTAGCAATGGCTTCGATGATGGCACGTTTAATACTTTCAGTCATGAGATATGTTTGAGATGATGGATCATTTCCACCTTGAGCAGAAAAGGATATTTTCATTAGATTTGAATTAATTTCGTTCAAAGCACATGAAACCAATTGTCTACCGGTCTCCTCTTCATCTTCAGTACACATTAAGATACTTTCTCCCCTATCGTCGATTCCTTTTCTTCCTGCTCTACCGACCATTTGTTTGTAAGTCATTATATCCATCATTGTGTTCATGAACACTGGTGATGCAATGACAACTCGACGTGCAGGCAAATTAACCCCGGCTGACAATGTTGAAGTCGCCATTAGTGCTTTAATTATCCCTCGACGAAATCCATCTTCAATAATTTCTCTCTCTTCTTGGGACAATCCTGCATGATGATAAGCAACTCCATATGGCACAATTTTAGCTAACAATGGCTCTGCTGCAACTTGGGTACGAGACAATTGCGAAGCTATGTCTTTTGCAGCTTCCTTCTTCAATACTCGAGATAATTTTGATTTGACATCTGCTTCATTACTGCGACTTATTGCTGCCAATAGAAGAGCAAAATCACGAGCAGTAACTTCACACTTCAGTTTAGTTGGGCAGAACATCAAAACACCATTTCCATCTAAAACAGTTTCAAGAACAAGGAATAATGATTTATCTCGTGGCGTTCTCCTTTCAACCATATCGAATCCATAAGTTGGTGGAAGATTATGCGATTCTGTCAATTCTGGTGCAATATAAATTTTATCTCCAAGTTGAACTTTTTCTACCAATGGAATCGGTCTAAAGTTTGTAATATATAACTTTGCATCTAACCATGTTGCTATCTCTTTCAAGTTTGGTACTGTGGCACTCATTCCCACAATCTGGATATGTTTATTTTTCCTTCTTGATAGATATAATAATTTAGCAAGTAAAAGTTCTAAATAAAATCCTCGACTTGAATCACCAAGCATATGAAGTTCGTCAACAATGACTGATCCAATGATCTCTATATTATTCTCCTCGATCAGTCTATGAAGATAATACATTAATTAATACTTTTGAATACTGAAAGTAAAATAAAATAAAATTCATTACTTATTAATGAAGCTGTTAGCCTTTTCGATTGTACAAACAGCAATTGAGCATGCAGCTAAGCCTCCAGGTGTATGTTGATTTCCCATGAAACCTCCAACACGAATCTTTGTTGATCTAAGCATACTTTTGAGCCCGACCATTCGTTCTCGACTGACAGACACAAAAGGTAAAATAACAATCGCCTTTTTTCTGTGTTCTATAACTTTCTTCATCATCAATATGTCAGAGACAATTGTTTTACCGGCAGAGGTTGGAGCAGAAAATACCAAATTTCCACCTTCAATAACACCGGGTATAGTAAGACATTCAACCTGAATATAAGAGAATTGATTAATAATTATTTTTATAAAACAATATTGTATCTCACATTACCTGCCATTTAAACAGGGAATTGATCCCTTTATTTTTATAATAGCGAGTCATAGAAGGCGGTAAATTCCACCCTTCAAGAGAATACAATTTTTCGATATCCAAAGATTCAACATGGTCCACATTAGGTGAGATTTTTTTAAATTTGGACCACACAGAGTTATCTTGCTTCTGAGCTCTGATCCCAGAAGCGGCAGCCAATATCTGCCTCTCTGAAGCATTTTCATTTTGAGTGCTGAAGTCGATTAATGTACTTTCCTGCAAATGAGAAAATAAAATAAATTAAATTATATACATTCAAGCAAATAGTTTATCAAAATAAGGTTAGAGCTATTTACTTTTGGTTCAAGCTTTTTTGCATCAAATCGATCTTGGTTTACCATTTTAATTTGACCAAAAGGGCCTAGAGTTGACATTTTTCCATGAACATAAAAAAAATTTATTACAAATATTCAAGTTTCGCACATTTTTTGGCTAACCAGCTGATGAATATTGCATCAACTTTATTTCAATCCTTCATACTATGGCTTTCTAAAAGTCCCCTAGATGGCAACATCATTTTTGCATAAACAGTTTATGATGAACTGTTGAACACAAGATTTTAAAGCAATGACAGGATAATAAGCAACAAGTAAAATAAATTATGTTTAACAGTAATTGTGATCATTGTTAGAATACTTTCACTATTTAAATCATTTAGACCAACGTGGTTTCAACATTAACTATAACTGCTCATTGACTTGAGACCAATCTCGGTAGGAAAATGATATTGCTTTGTAAATGTCAACAAACTTAATTGAATCGTTTACTTTGAGATTTTGATTCATTTTGTTTCAATTTTTGATTTTAATCATCAAAATGAAAATACATGCAGTTCATGCAGTTGTGAGTAGATTGCCTCATAAAGGATTAGAATGCCATTCTCAGTGAGAAGTAAAAGGTTCAGGTGAAAATAAAATTTTGCGGCTTGTGAGGATGAACTTACAATCGCTACTCAAAAAGCATTCTTAAGTTCATTCAATCAAATATCTCAGCACCATGAAACACGATCAACTTGAAACAAGAATCAGTGTTTAGAATCATCAACTAGTTTAAACAATTAGTCCGGTCCTGTGATTCCCCTTAAGCTTTCGAATCACGATTTATTTTAAAATTGCTGACACTAGATGGCTCTAAGGTTGCACCATTCTGTAAATTTTCATTGCTGCGCCTTTTAAGCTGCCCATGAACATCACCATTGAAATGTTTTGAAAATATTGTTTATCTTTTTTTAATGTTCAACAAATTTTTTATTCAATTTACTATGTGATTAACTATCATTTGTATGAATTTTTAAATGTGCTTATAAACTTTGTTTTGTTAAAATCAAAACTACTCTCTTTAAGGACTTTAAATCAGATCTTTTAAAATTCACAACTCTATCCTCGATTTCAATGGCAGTCAAGGTTTGTTAAATTTTGATTTTCTTTTTTATTACCAATTTTACAATTATCATTAATATGAACAATCTTTTATTCAGGCATGTAAACAATCGTCTTTTCTTCATATTATTTACAACAAAGAAAAAACTGACACTTTACTGAAACTTGCATATAAACATCTTGGATTGGAGGAGAATGAGGCCCACGTTTTTCTTTCTAGTCTTTTCCTAACTTCAACGAAAACACATAGCGCGAATTTCAGCACCAGCTTGGACAAAAAGCTAAAACTTTTGACACCGCATTTCACTTCATCTCAAATAGTCAACAACCCAAAACTTCTGACTAGTTATAGACTGGAAACATTATCTCAAACTATCAAAGATTTACAATCATTTGGAGTTACCAAAATTGGACCCGAGCATTTGTGTAATCCTAAATTATTATGGCAACTAAGTGAACGAGACTGGAAAGATTATAAATTAATCGATGAAAGTGTTGATTGTGCTGCATCGTACATTGCATCTATAAGTGACACCTCGGGTCCAACTAAACAGGCTATTTACGATCGCTTACGTCGAGAAGTGCCAGAGTACAAATCATTACCTCTTAAAAAATTGAAGCCGTTAATCACTGCATACACGATCTATCTCAAACAATAGATGTCAAATTAAGGCAATAGTCAAGCTAACTAGTTTGTTTCCTATTAATGCCAACAAACTATCATTGGTATTAAAATAACAAATTACGTTTGTTTATTAAACAGAGATAAACGAAAAAATCTTGTACCTACTGTGGCTAAATTTTCAAACGTTTAGATAAACAAATAAATATTAATTGTAAATAACTTGAATTAACTTGTTTATCAGTTAGTCTATTTATATTTTGTTAGAATATTTTATGAATTTGAAATGTTTAATAAAGAAATGCTGTAACTTCAAAGCTTTTTCGTTTGATTCACGCGCTATTTTATATGATTGCCGCCAAAAGTATGGACAAAACCATTATTCATGTGTTATGAAAAAAAATTGTTTCATCTTCTTAAATAAATTGTTTAATTTGTAAACTTATTTTAATTTAAACATAATTTTATTTTAATTTTATATTTTGTTTGGTTTCTGTATTAATATGAATTTTATTGATCGTTGTGTTTCACTGCTTAAAGAGCTGAGTAGCTCAAAGAAAGATTTTTTACCTGTTTATAATAATGAAATTGTCTCTGAATGTATTACTACTATGAAGCGACTGTTCGAGGAGAACCAGAAGGAAGCTTTGGATACATCTACAGATTCGGCATCTTCTCAAGATGGCTTTATTGTTGTGAAAATTCGTCATTCCATATTATTATTCATCAAAAGATGTTTGATTGCCTACCAGTAAGTAATTTTTTACTGTCTCATCTTTTTGTTACACCTTTTTAATGTAAACCTGTTAACTTTTTATTTAGCCATGAAAGGTTGAACCGATTGAAAAAACTGAGATGGGAATTTGGATCTGAGTTACCTACCGAAGTATCTTGTAATTTAACCCCCAAGGAGATTGAATGGTTTGCTAAATATTGTTCAAATTTGAGTGATTACATGGGCAGATTGAATGAAGGTCGAGGATTTGATTTGACACTCAATCGAACGGCTCCAAAGAGGATTTTTATCCAAGTTAGATGTCTACAAGATCATGGTGACCATGAGCTCGAGGATGGTACAACAGTTTGTCTCCAAAAAGATAATCTTTATTATTTACCTTTTTCCCAATGTGAAAAGCTAATACATCAAGGAATTATTGAACAAGTTTCGGATTAATTGACAAACTGAAATTTACTGTGTAAATTGGATACTGTGATCCATTGTTTACTTTTCTTTACTAATTAATAATACTGCTACTAATGATATTCTTTAATCTGTTTTTATTTAGTGTCTACCTTTAAATGTAAACAAGTGGTATATTATTAATTCAACCTCTCAATCACCATCAGGAAAACAGTCAACTAACAACTTAGTCAATTGAAAGTATTCTGGATTTATTTTAGATCAACTCAGCTTGAGCATTATAAACAAGTTCAATCAGTGTTTATTCTGTTGGTGGTAAAAGACTTCATTTCAACAAATAAAATCAATAATCATGAAGAAAAAATCTCATAGACGAAAAAATTGTTTCTTTATTTTAAGCATTTGATTTGACAACTCTCTTTAAAATTGACTAACATTATTAGCCTCCAAACACGGAAAAATAATCACAGCAATTTAAGCTGTTAAATTGATAATTCCTTGTGCATGGAGAAACTTTGGTGGGCTTTTTTGGCACGTTGGTATAAGAGGCAGTTAAATTTGATTCACGTTAAAACCTGATTAGTTGGTGGTCTCCTGAAAATAGGAAAGCAGATAACAGATGAATGCAACATGGGTAGTGGTGATGATGAAGTGAAATCATTATGATTTGGAAAAAAAAGATGTGAGTTTTAAAAACAAAAGCAAAGTAGTAATAGTAGATGATGAAAAAGAAGAAGAAAAAGACGAAACAAAACGAATAATTTTTTTGTATGATGACCATTATAAAGATGAATGATTCCATGGTTAGCAAAATGTATTTACAATTGTCCCTAAACAGTCGATTCTCACAGCGATGTATCACCCGTTCTGAATTTATATCCATTCCCATTTGGCTGTAATGGTTCATAATCTTCTTCACGAGTTGGTGGTCGTTTACGCTTGAAGAAACCAAGCTAGAGGGCGAAAAAAGAATAGAAAAGTTTGAGAATTTTTTATTCAAATGGACGCTGATGAAAACAATTACCTTCCAGAGACACATGGCTAAAATAAATAGAAGTAATAATCCGACTAGAATGGCAAGTAAAATAATCCAAAGTGGAATTGGAAGGCCTCTCTCTAAACCAATTACTCTGACATCAGTTGACACCCTTGTTACCTTTGCGTCCATCTCAATTTGAGTATTCTCAATCCCATAAGGAAGCTGAACAATCTCAGCAACCAATTTAGATGACACTTGAAACTCAGGTAAACCAATCTCTGAGATAGTTTTTTTGGACAATCTGGATCGGATGGTGTAAGTAATGGATTGACGACCAAGGTTATGGACATGGCAAACAATTTTTGTACACTGAGTTGCTCCGCAAGACTGAAAAGGACACAAAAATAAAAAACAAATGATTAAAGATCGTAACAATAAAAGCAATAGAAGGTAAATTGAAAGCTATGTTATCGAGTTAACTATTTAATTAGATAACTTAGTCTACAAAGACAAGAGTTTGAGTTAATGTTATAAAAAAAGGACAATAAACAGTATTCCTATGTGAATGTGAAGCACAACTTACCAAAGCTTCAGCCAATGATCCATAGTTTTTACTTATATCTTCTGATGTTGAATAGCGTTTCACTCGACTTATAAGTGAAGTATTTTCGTGGTTTAGATGGGAAATAGTTCGTGGATCATCACCAAGATAGTTGGAATACTTTCGAGTCTCCAAGTTACGGTGTTTCTGTTCCCAAAAAGAAAAGAGAAATGGATAAAATGTTTAGAATTTTGCTCAACTTTTATCAGTTTGTCATTTTAACGCAAAGAAGTGCAAGTTTAAAAAAATGAAAGGCAACAATCAAGATTTACCAAATTAGCTATAATCGTATCAACTACCTCTGTTGAAACAAGGTATAATTGGAACATTTTTTACGGTAAAAATGATGAAAAACTCTGTTACCTTGTTACAGTTGATTCCTAATAAGCTTATGCATCCAAGTCTTTGGAATGGAGAGGAAAAATTTGAAATAGCTGTTAAACGAACTATCCTAGTGTAAGATTTCAATTTCCTAGGAAATATAACTATTGGCAGTCCAAGGAGATGGAGCAAAAAATGGTCTCAATGTTAAAGGAATCAAGTTGAATTGTTATATTGAAGTAAGAAGTTGATTGAGTGCAAAAGAGATGAGAAAAGAAGAGAGAAAAATATTAACTGTCCATGAGACTTTCAACTTGATTTACTTATTGCTAAGATGAATGTCATGTTTCATTGGGGAGTTGAAAAGACAGAAATAAAGAGGCAAAAAAAACAAGAAATACTAGGAAAAAAAGGAAGGAAAAACGGTAAAAGAAAAAAAACTAGAAATGAAAAGAACGAAAAGATTCAAAGGAGGAAAAAATGGATCGTATAGATTTTTATAAATTACATTTTGCTCATCTTATTCCATCGATTTGCTTGTATATTTAATATAAAAAACTGGAACCATTTAACTTGAGAGACTGATTAATACTGACAAGTTGAACATTACTCGTTTTTTGCCAACTTAACCAGTTGAATCTACTTTTAGTTGAATTTTTTCTCATTCCAAATGCGCATTGGTTATGTATTAATATTAGGCTCTTTTTTTTTGATGAAATGAAAAAGCTTTTATTCCGAGATATTTCAGAAAAAAATGATTATGATATCTGTTTGATGGTTATGAGAGTTCAAATCTTATTCAAATCATGATCAATAAAAGATGGAAAACACAATTTGATATTTGAAAAGTCAAAAAAGTTGAAAGCAAATGTAGCTCAGTTTTTGTGTCTAATATTTGATGTAAACCTGTTGATACAATAAATCTCAATTTAGAAATGCGATTTTAATTTGATTTCGTTTCTATTCAATATTTTCTGGAAATATATTTTTTGTACCAACAAAATGTATTAACAAGATTAATTTGTAACGTAAGCTTGACTCACGTCTAAATTAAAGTCTGTTAACTTACCGGTAATTTGAGAGGATCAATTACATCAGGTCCAAGTTTGTTACAATCAACTGTAACAGGTTGAGCATCAGTTCCACGAGTTATATCAATTTCAGGGTCAGATAGAAGGTAAAGTAAATGTTTACCATCCAATGTTTTTGTAGGCCATAAAATAGTGACTCGAGCCAATTTAACAGAGCTTGGGCCAATATTTTGCAAGGTATAAATGTGGTTAACCAAGTATCCAAAGTCTTCTGCAGTTGTCTGATCATGGACAATTGTTTCAGAAACATTGTGTATAATTTGTTCCGGACTTGAAGCTCTGAAAATACAAAAATAGAAATTAAATTAGCTCTAGTTTTATAACCAAGCAACAAGAAAGCTCAACACAAAAAAGCATAATAATATGGATACAAATTAGGAGCTTAAAGGTTACTTCAATAACCCTAATTTTACATTTCAACTACTTTTTGCTCTTTTTGAATAAGGCTTTTGAGTTTGAGCTTTCTTTGCCATTAAATTGAATTTTGATTGTTGTCTTTTACCCAGTGCTTGTCATATTGATATCAACTCGAACCGGTATCGACAGTTGAACTTGATTATCTCCAAGAGTTTCATTTTTTTCTGGATTAGTGCTGTTGACACTCATCAGGAAGAGGAAGGTTGGCGATGCAGTCACAAACAATTTTGGCTTTAAATGTACACTAAAATTGAGCTGAGTTGGATAAATTTAAACAAAAGAAAAGTAAATGTTAACATTGTCAATTTTATCTCATTTGATTGTTATTTGATTATTCCTAATGCCATTAGCTTACCTTGTCTTTGGCTAGAAGTGGATTACCAATGTCACATTTCAAGACATTTTTACCTGTCAACTTTGGCTTTGGAGGAAAGCAGCCCTTGTTTTTGAAAAAAGAGGCAAAAAGAAATGCATTAAAAGAGATTAGAGAAAAGGTGAATCAGTTCTGATTGACAATTGGAGATAAAAAAAACTAAAAATAATGATAATAACCCAAGGAATCGATTTCAAGGAATCATAGTTGACTTATCAAACTATCTATTCGTAGGTGTTAGCTTGAAATTGAAAACTAAGTCTATCAAAATTGAAAATTCAAATAATAGTAACGGATAAAATGGGAAAAGATGCTTATTTTTTCCCTTCATTTATCATTATTTTGGTTTTATGTACTTCTGTAAATCATATTATTTCTGTCACTCTTGCTTACTTTAATTCCTTCAGTGTGTGAATATTCAACATCAATGGGAATTTCAAGTTCAAATGTTGATTCAAAGGCATCTTCACGTTTATTGACAATAGTCACATTTAATTCAATTGCCTTGCCAGTTCCAATTGGATATGAATCATGTGGATTGCTATAATAGGATAAGAGAAGAAGAGAAATTGAAAGGATTAAAAATTTTGCAAGTTAATTGGTGAAAAAGAAAAGGATTGAGAAGTTTCATTGTTCCACCTTATCAATCGAGTTTCATCAAAAATTGATTTTCTTCAACTAATCTTGATCTCTGATCAAGGTGCATGGTTCTTCTTAAAATTGATTTATCTCTTCATGTAAATACTTACGATTCTGCTGTAATCTTCAAGTCTGGTATACAAATTTCATCGACACTACAATTCTTGAGGATTATTATATTACGGATAAGTTTATTGCTTGATACTAAACTAAGTACTGGTCTTGGTGATCCTTTGGATGAGTTTGGATGGGATGGATGATTTGGTATGTTGTGTTCAGCTTCAATCTTTATTGGAGTCAATTTATCACGAATATTGTTCTGTTGAAGGGAAAAGAAATAAAGAAAGGCAGTTAACCAGAATGATCAATCATTTATAATCCCAACAATCATTGGAACAATACTTACAGCAATGTAAATTTTGAACTTATTACATCTTTCACGTCGCCGTTGATAACTTTGTGATATTTCTTGTTCACTTTCATTAGGATTGTTCAAGAAGAAGGCTCTTGGAGGTCGATTGGGTTGGTAGTCAAGACGTATAAAAGTAGATAAATCTAGATTGAGAGAAGAGAAGAAATTTTATCAATAATCAGTGTTGAAAATTTCAAACAAAGGCAATTGAATTTCCAAAAGTAAAAGTGTTTACCCATGACATCTGGTAATCTGACTCCATCATAACTCAGGCAAAACTCAATGTCCATACATGTTACTCTGGATCCATCATTAAGTGAACAGGAACGATCTTTCAAGCTAATCTTTGGTGGATTAATTTTCATGGTAGTGTTTACATTAACCACAGGTCTTGATCTTAAATGGACAGCTCGATCAGAAGCATAAGCTCCAACTAAAAGATCAGGATAGGCATTTTCATCCATATCAAGTCCACCAGACAATGAGAAGCCAAATGTTTTGATTCCTGGATCATTTAGGTCAAGTCCATTAATTACCTACAAAGTAAATCAACAAATCAAAAATTAATAATGAGAAACAAACAATTTAAATCAAAGTTAAATCTTATCTTTACCTAAAACGGTAATAGTCGGTAAAATAGAGATACAAAGCAAGTTTAGGTAAAATATGGAAATACCAGAAAATTGTTTATCAAGGGAAACAATTTGCGAAAAGCTCAAGCCAAGTGTCTAAATCCACTTGAATATTATCCTGACCATTGATTTTCAAATCACTACTGACAAGTAACAAGATTGTCTAAGGTCTAAGGATAAATTGATGAAAGCTGGTCTAATCAAGCAAAAATGAAGTTAAAATGAATTGTTGATGAAGCTAAATTTACTCGGAAAATAGACTCGATTACCAATCTATTCGTATTAATAGAAACATCAAAATTTTATATATTTAGCCACACAAATGATAACTTGAATTGTTGATATTAACTGAAAAGGAGCAACAAGTGACTACAATGAAAGCAATGTTTAGCTTCTGATTTTTCTGCTTCTAATATTGATCATGTTAACAAAAGTGTTCATAGAGTCAAAAATTTGATAATTGGTTGATTAAAGAGGGTTGAGAAAAGCAATTGCTGAAAGCTGTTCAATGTTTCGAGTGAAATGTGGCTACCAGAAAATGTTATACAATATGTTTTACTGATTGTTATGTTAAAACATTTTGTATCCAAAATGTTTGAAGATAATGAAGGAAAAAATCAATCGAACACTATTTTTTATTTATTTAGTTTTTTTCTTCTCCTTCTTTTGTTTCATTCATTTATAACTGACATGATAAATGTAATCATATTATGGAACGATATCTTGTTGGGTGGAAAACAACAGAAGAAATCTCTTGATGATGAACAAAGTTAGAGACGGCTGAATGGCAAGATAAGAGATGAACAGAGAAGAAGAATTACCTGAGAATAATTCTTGTTTATTCCATGTTTATTTCCATTGTAGATATAAACTGCTCCCCTTTCACCTTCACCACCATAAGGTGCTCCTATTGCGATGTCTAAATGGTATAAAAAAAGAGTAAAAAAAGGAGTAAAAAAAAAGAGATGTTCATTATGATCATGTAAGCAACTGAAGAAGATGAAAGATTAAACAAGATTGTATCTGTTCTTATATGCAGATAAACACACTCATACAAAGTATATTCTCTGTGAATCTGATTATCTAGATGAATGTGTAATATAAGAAGTTTGCCTGAAACATAATTCCAATGTCAATCATTCAAGGAAACTAACATGATTGTTGTTTACCATTTTATCATCATCATCATCATCATCAAGATGATAATCATGATAATGTTGATATTCCCATGTGAACATATGTTGATCCACTAAATATAACGATTTAGCTTATAATAATAAATTCAAAGGCAACAGATACAGCACCAGTGTCACCATGATTAACATGATTACACTTAGTTTTTGTTTCCATTTCCCTCTGAATCTCATTGCAAATATCCTTTCCTCAAATAATCAATTTTCAATGTTGTTCAAATCCAATTCAATCGAGAGTTGATTCACAAATTTTTAAGTCTTTGCTTTGCCATTCAATGAAATCGTTGAAATTGGGTTCAACTTTTTTCGTCTCTCGTTCAACATTTATTTTCCCTGTCCCTTGACTATCACATGAATTAACAGGTTTTACCTGGGAAACCATCCATATTAACATCACCAAGACTTGTTACTGCATTACCAAAGCGTCCTCTGTGATTGTGTCCATCAATTTTATCACCAATCTCAAAATGACCCTTGAATTGAGGAAAAGAAATGAAAACATTAGTTTAGTTGAATTAAGTAAACTCTGTAATATAGTGAAAAAAAGCTAATCCAATTTTAATCAAATCCATTACAAGACTGGTCAATTGTGCCAATATCAAAAAGTAAAGACAACGAAAAAATGAATGGTTAATGTTAAGGATAACCCATTAAAAGTAAATTAAATTAAGGTTAACAACAATTGAAGCTTTTGTTTTTTCTTCTCTCCCTGTTAAAGTCAAGAATATAATCAACATGAAAATAATGACAATAATGGAGAGTGATGAAGGAAAGGATTGTCACTGAAACACTGAGAGAAATGAAAATTTGGTCCAGTAAAGATGGACCAAAATGAATTCAATGAGAATTAGATTATTTGTTTTTCCCTTCTTCTTCTGACACAAGACTTTTCATTGATGAATCAAAGATGAATCAAGATGCCAAAGATACACAGAAATTCATGATAAAAGTTGATTCAAAAGGCTTTTAGTGAAAACCATTTTCAAGCCAAAGGAATAAAGTAAAAAGATTCAATAAAAAGGATGACTTTCCATCAGCATCATCTAAATCATCTAAATCATCAATATCTTCATCACTTCATCTTCTCATATCCTTAGAGTTACAGTAAAAGCATAAAGCGAATCTTGTTTATAACATTTCTTGTGATTAGGCTAAAAATGTCAAATTTAAAGCTTAACCATTTACAATCAACTAAATTTATCTCTTTTGTTTAACCATTAATTGTACACAATTATTCATTTGAATTTGGTTAAAAAATTGACTCCATTTTTAGTCTTCATTTCACTTGCTGCTTCAAACATCATCAGATGCTTCTTGGATATATTTTGCTCTTCATCTTCCCATGTCTCCAGGGTTTATTGGGAGAAGCAAAAATTCAATAATCTCATCTAACTCATCCACTGAATAAGATGACAATATTGGATGGTGATATTGTCATCTAAATTTGTTTGCAATTTAAACAGTTACTTGAACACTCACACACAAATAACACAGAAAAAACAAAAATCAGTTTAACCTGAAAGTTCATCAATCACTTTGCTCATCTAATTTTTATTGAATAAAAGCCAAGATGAGTAAAGAAGAGGATGAACAGAAGACAAAATGTTTCACTGAAAAACTTGGATAAGATGATTCCTAATCAGTCTCTGTCTATCCTTACCTTTTTTTTGCGGTTTTCAGGTCAAAATTGAACGATTAATTTATATTTATTTTTCAACATTATCATTGCACTTTTTTGTTCATCATTATTATTAATATTGGTTGGAGACTTGTCAATGGGACTTTAAATCAATCATTATTTTTCACTTGACTTTATTTTCCGTGGCATCAAGCATCATTATTAATGATTATTCAATTGGTACAAGAAGCATTGCTTTAATCACAAACATTTTACATTGCAAGATTAATAGTGCTCAGGAGAAATTAATTTAATATCATGATTGAGAATTCACAATTTTAAGAATCAACAACAAAACCAGAAACATTTTAAAGGTTAATAGCAAATCAGTAAAACCATGAAATTTGTGTTCTCATCATTAGACTTTCAAGCTTCCATTTATCATTCGCTTCAACTTAAAGTAAACCATTTGATTAAATTAAGACATCGTTATTTAACGATTAAACAATTATCGAAACAAATAATCAATCAAAAAGTCAGAATAGTCAGAATCATTTTTTACCCAAATGTTAACCTCTAAACTGAAATGCCATTTTAGGCGGAAAAAGAAGGAAAAAATCAAATTTTCTTCTCAAAATTTCTAGATTTTCATGAAAACGAAATTGTTTTTGAAGGCTAAGTTCCGAAAATAAATTTACTCGAAAATTCGGAAAGTTCATTATTGGTGAGAATTCATTTTTCTGGAAAGAAACTGTTTCTATTGAAAAGTCATTGAGCAGCTTTTAATGTCCATTCGTCTTTTGAGGGAAAAGATTGAGACCATTGCAGTTAAGTGACAATAATATTCATTTTCAGCCAACAACTCATCCTGGGAAAACAGTTAACAGAATTAGATTGAGTTTTAAAATATTGATTTCGGACAATTGAAACTGTGAAACTAATTAACAATGAATTGGAGAGTAAATATGAATTGAGAAATTTAAATGTAAGGCAAAAAAGCATTGAGTAAATAGTGATGTTATTGACCAAGCCGATGAGAAAGGTTGATCAAAAGCATTGTTAACTTGTTTTGGGTAAACATTATTGGGATCAAAAAACAGAGTTAATTGATAGACAAAAACGAGACCAAATTGGGTTAACTGTTAACAACAAAGAAGCAAATTGAAGCAATATTACAGATGAAAGGTTAATCATATTGAATGATGATTGGAAACCACCCAGTGATTGATTAAATTGACAACCATAAACATCAACCCAATCAACTTGGAAACCATAAATAAAAAACTCAAACTGTTCCACTTTTCAATTTGATTCTTAATCATGTTGTTCATTGAAAAAAGAGTCTCAGCAATTTGCAAGCAGCAAAAAAACGACTAACACAAGTAGGGAGCAAAATCAATACAAAATAAGCAGTGGATGATGATGAGGATGAAAGTGAAGATTGAACGGAAAACCTTTGGAAAACATTGAAATAAGGAAAAAGGATGAGAAAATTTTGACTTGACCTTTACTGAAGTCTATTAGACAAAAAAAGCAGCCTTTTTTACTGCCCTTGAGACTTGGTTAGTTAGTAATATAAAGAGATTATTATTCATCTCTTTTCGCGTGTTTACATCTTCATCGTTCATCATCCTCATCTTCAACGTTGGCTTTTCATCTCATCTTGAAATATTTGAGGAAAAACTGTTTTAACTCAACTGATTAGCATCGATGTAAGTACAACCAAAAAATGGTCTTAATCTTTCATCTTTCCATTCATTATTGAAGCTCCACTTTTTTCAATGTTATTCAATGGAAACCCAAATTTGAAGCTGAAAAAGTTGGTTAAATAACATTTCAAGCAAATACAAATAAACAGTTTTTTTCCTCTTTTTTCCTGCTTCCAGCTTCAATGCAAACAATTTAAATAATGTTTGACCATTATTTACAAATCATTTGATGTTGTGTCAAAACAATTGACCATTAACCATAAATTGAAAAGATTTAAACAAATCATTTGGTTAATAATAGCTTCTTGGGCAAATTGGACATTCATTGATTAGTGACAAAGGGAAGGCAAAAAATTAATTATATCAACTGTCAACTTGTTGGTTTAAATTACGATTGATGATCATTTTTAATTATTTATTCATTGACTCTAATATGCTAGCAATATGAATAACTCATAATAGTAATGATAATATGTAGATAGATATAAAATATAATATGATTCCCTTGGTAATCAATTGATAAAAAATAGTCCAAAATGGTGGAAACATTAATTAATGTTGATTCTTAATTAGATATGGGAATGGTTAACATTCACTCATCTTAATGAACGAAAAAAAAGGTTCAAAATTGGTGTTAAAATTGTCAAATTCAATGTCGATTTACACTAAATTCAACTTTTACAATCAACACGTAAAAGATTGTGATAAAGAGTTGAACAATTACTCCAACATTGATATCAACAATTGGGTTCCCTGTTGAGATCACTTAAGATGGACAAGTTATTAACATTGATTTTGACAATTATAACCTTTAACCTAAGGTTACCAAGATTGAAGCAATTTTGTCTTCACTCTCATCGGTTACCAGAAAAATATCAATATTGCTCTCAATATCAATTAAAACAGAGTTCATCTTTTTTTTCTGGTTTTAACCCAATGACGAAAAGGTATTAGACAAATGGATATGAAAAAGGTTAGTTTGTTATGGATTAATCTTTGGTTTTGATCCAATTTTGGTTCAGTTATTTTCCTGACAATCCTTCACCATGGGATTAAGAGGTTGACAATGTGATAAGGTAACATAAATTGTATGAAAAAGACACGTAATAACAATCGTAAGATCAATAGTTGTCGTTGGTTGTTGTTGTTCATGGGTCAACCATTACAATAATAACAATGGGAAACATTGTCAAGATATAAACTTAATCTTACAGATTTTAGTTTATATATTGCTGCTGTTGATTGGTATTGATGTTAATGGTGACTCTTGTTTAATCACCATCAACAAATCACTCCTTTTCACTGGTAATACAATCACGTAAGTCACATAATAATGATAAATGAAAAACATATAACTCTAACTGATCAATTGAACATTGGTAATTGCTATAAATTTGAAACATTTGTATTCCTTTCAATGGTTTCCCAACAAATCATTCAAAAGTGTATTCAATTGATCCATCAATCTGATCACTGTATTCAGTGTATCATTAAACCATTTCAACAACAAAATCCAGAGAACAGGGTAAATGTAAATATGCTGGTTGGGGGACAATGTAAAAGTTCAATTAATAACCAGTCAATCAATAATCAAGTTAATCTTGTTTGCATTGGAACTAAGGTAAACTCTGTGTAAACCTTAACTATTTACAAAGATTGACTTTACTGGTGTAATCTTGTAAACTGGATCAACTCTAAATCAGGTGTTAATTACCGGTTTCCGTTGATAGGCAATGTAAACTCGTCCGTGTTCATAGCTTTTATCCTTTGAATCAGGTTTGGTATAAAATGGAGCTCCAATAATTAAATCATCTAAACCATCGCGATTGAGATCAGCTGAAGCCAGTGAATAACCAAAATAGGCACCCATAGTGTCACCGGTAATGTTGACTATGTTTTTCATTTCTTTGGAAAAAATGCAAACCTAAAGAAAAGGTAAAATGATAGAAATTAAAATTTGTCCAGAAAACATTTCAAGAGTAGAAAAGATTTAGAGGGAAAGGAGGAAACCTGAATGATTACAATGAATATGAAAATCAAGAAAATCTGTAAACTCTTTTTCAATTGTATTGATTTGGAGCGTTAAAAGTGCTTTACATTTGATTCACAATTTGTGATTTTTTGGGTTTTTGTATTTACCAGACAATTGTAAATCTAACTAGAGCTAATTATTTAACCTGATTTACTCTCATTACCATTAAAACAATGTTGACTTGAATATAAACTTTAAAAAGGGTAAAATCAATATTTAGAGTAAAGTCAACATATGATTTTTCATTGGTTTTGAAAGGCATACAAATTGTTTAAGTTGAACTGAAAAACACAATCAGTTGATAATTGTTGCTTATAATGTTAATAAAACAATATTTGTTATGCCTTTTAGGTGTGTTGATATCAATTGAAATCAATCATCAAATAGGTGTAAAGATGATTAATTCAGAGAGAAAGGGAAAAAGTAAAAGATGAGAAGTTAACCAATATTACACTTTTTTTTACCAAATAGGTAAATATGTACATTCAGGTGAGTTGGTTATGGAAAGGGTTGAACAGTTTAACAGGAAATATGGTTGAATTTGGATTTTCCAATGATCCTTGATTGTTGATTGCACCAATCAGTTGATCATTGAATGACTTTGGAGTGTCAATCACTACAATAGTTAATTAAACAATTTGATCATTTTTCATGTCTGTAAACATGTAAATTGTTGAACAACAACAACAAAAAAGATGGTAAAGATTGTTGAAAAGATCAGCTATTTTTGTTTCTCGGAGCAAATTTTTCACTCAATTTTTCAATTATTTAACCTGATTCACTAGGAAACGGTGTGGGTGAATTCAGGCTGAGTTTTGTTCAGCAGTTGAACCAGAAAGTGAAAATTGGTTATAAAAGGTTGAGCCAGAAAAAAACATTGACAATTAGGTTTGACATTATGCGTTTTCAGCTTTTAGCCCTAGGAGTTAGAGGTTGATGGTTAAATGGGTAAAAACTGGTTGTCAACTTTAACTTGTTTAATCGAAAGTCAATCAATTAACAAGCATGGTTGATTGAAAATTGTTCAATTGTATTTCCAAACGCAAACCTTTTACTCTCCTGAAAGTTAAATGAAATTACAAGTCAAAATTGACTGTTTCAATCCTAATTTATTGTTTAAATTGAACACTAAGCTTGACAATTAAATTGTTTTACCCAATTTGCATACATTAATAGACGCTATTAACAGATAATCTTGTGATTATTGTGATTATGTATGATTATTATAATAGATATGTGTCAAAAAACAGGCAAAAATACCCAAACCAGGAAAATAAAGGATTAACCAGAAAGATTTTAATTGAGGTTTCTCTTCTTCTTTTCTTTGTAACTCAACAGTTATCATTATTATCATGCACAATTTAATTATTTTGCTTGATAATGAACAAAATATAAATTTTGTGTCATTTATTTCACTTCAATAATGATAAGTTATTGAATTAGAAATGAATTAAATGTTGAAGTGTGAGTTGGTTATTTTGTTTTTTTTGCTCAATGGTTTTTATTCAGACAGGTTTATTGGGTTAATCTGAATGGGTTTGTTGTTATTCATGGTAACCAGAAAAGAAAAAGAATCAAGCATGAAGAGGATTTAGTAAGAGTAATTCATGAATGAATGAATAATAATAGGAAGAAGATGATGAGGACAAGTGAGAGGGAGAGAGCAAAAGTTGGCAATTGAAGTACAAGTTGCTCAAATTTCTGTCAAAATTATGTTTATAGCCAACAAATTTACAGATGAAGGCGATGAGGAAAACTGAAGATGAAGGATCAAGATGATGAGATGAAGATGAAGCGAGAGCGAGAAATAAAATGTAATGTTGGCCCAATTTTGGGTAAAAAAACTGGGAATTACTCCAATTCTTTAGAGTCTTTTTTTTTTCTCATCTTCATTCCTTACACCTTGAAAGGGTCGTTTTATTACAAAACACACAATATAATCTTTATCCATTTACTAGATTGATGTTATAACATTTTATATCACACATTGTAGATAGAATGAATTGAAAGTCAATAAAGTTGGACTCACAATTAACATATCAATAAGGTTGTTGGTGTCAAAAAATTAACCTTTTCACTCTGTTTGGAGGATACTTTTTCGTGTCTATATACAGATTGAAAAAGCAAATGAATTCTTGTACAACAGTGAAAAGAGAAACTTTACATTAACATTACAATGGGCAAAAACAGACATGTAGAGATGATACATTTTGTTTAATGTACAGAGAAATGACGGGAAAGTTGAAGTGTTAGTCTGTTAACTGTTGAAATGTATTAAATATTAAAACTTGTCAAATGATTGAGCTATCGGTATTGGTTGGTAGAAAGCATGAGTAAAATGTCAAAGAAGGATGATAAAAAGGTCAATCTGAACAAGCTTATTATAAATTAAGATTTTCTTTGTTGCTCATCTAGTTCTACTCCTACTAGTTGAACCTTAAAATGATAGTCGCATTACACTGACTGTAGACCTTAAAATAACCATTGGAAGAAATTGCCTTCAACTTGCTTCAAGATTTTGTTTACTGGTTTGAGCCAACAGTTTGGAAGTGAAAGAAGATGGAGAGAAAAGAGAAAGAAAAAAACCGGAAGTTTTGGCTAAAATGTAAACAGAGACGAGACAAAATGTTTGTCTGTGTGATCATGATGGTGATGTAATTTTCATTGGTAAACATGTTAGTCAGAGTTTTTGGACTGGTGTGGGGGTGTAAGACATGATGATATTCAAAGGATGGTTCATTTAATTGAATGAGGGTTGGTTGGTTTAGACGTTAATGGTGAAAAAGGAATAGACAATGAATCAAAGATGAAATCTTACCTGACCAGTTAGATTTGCTCCTCGAGGTTGTCCTACCGCAATGTCATTTGATCTATCACTGGAACCAAATTTTCCCCAAACCAGAGAGTAACCTAGAGTAACAATAAACACAATTTTGGGTTAATCTGAGAACACTTAAAGGTGATAATAACATGTTTTAAACTGAGAAAAAAAGAGAAGGTAATTCTTATTTCAATGGTGTTTCCAATATATCTTGATTAGTGTTGATCTTTCTAATCTGCTTGGCAATCAGATTAATCAATGTTGAAGTTGAAAGGGAAAGGTATCAAAATCATTGACAATTTATCACTATTAAAGATTGAAACATCAATTAATCCTGTACATTGGCAAGTAATTTTGCCTCATTTTGGTTGTAAAGTTAATCTTGTTTGACCGTAAAAAAGGATACTAACAAAAGACGAAAAGTATAACAAATAATTTATTCTTTCTTTATACAGACAACTTTGTATTGTTTCAATTTCAAGATTTAATTTTCTGTTAAAAGCAATTCTAATTATAATTACGACCAATAGGAAAATTGGAAAAAACCATTTTCCCATTTTCAATATTCTGATGGCTAAAGAGATAAGAAACTGGCGCCTTAATGTTTCATGAGCAAGGGTTCAACTTAAAATGTGTTAACTTGGACGCCATATTGACAATACATTATGTAAAACCTCTAGACAATCCAGACTTTATTTTCAACCCAAATCCAGACATTTAACGATCTTTAAACTAGATAATGTTGATTTGGATTTACGATTATATAATTTTGGAGATTAAATTTCACTTTCACTTATATCTGCGTGTTTTAAATGCTTAGTTTTGCTTCAATTTTCAATCTTCAGTTTTGCCTTTTGTGCTTTCAATTTCTTCCACTCAATTCTCCTCAACGGTAAGTCTTTAAGCTCATGTATTTTGTTTAGCTACGTTTCTTGTCTTTAAAATTAATTTTCATGTGATTAAAAGACAAAATCGCAATTGTTTTGAATACACTTGTATGAATTACGTTTACTGTATCATCTTCATCACAAGTTACTCTCTTTTTATTGTTAACAGTCTTTGACATGCAAAGTTAAACAGATTTTAATCCATTAATCGCATCTATTTTTGGTGAGTTCTGAATTTTTTCGTTTTCATTTGGATTTGCTCGTGTTTTTAATACCAATAGTTCTGATTTTTATTTTATTTACTCTCTTCCTCTCTCATTTAGCTTGTCTAATACTGATTGATTAAAGCCTTGGTTCAACAAATTGCCATTAGAAAAGAAGGTTGAAAATCTGTGATTGTGTTACCTTAATGGAAGGGGAAACATTCCTTTTTTATAGTGACAAACAAAGATAATAAAATATAATCTACAACAATTGGATTACAATTAAACTTACCGAGATAAGTATCATCATTTGATTCTTTTCCTTCTTTAGTCTCATAGGGAGGCTGAGTTAATTGATGAAGATCATAAGAGAAAACCTTTCCTTGCCAATAATATGAACCAACTGCACCAAGAAATACCTGGCGACCTTCCTATTATTGATGGTCAAGGAAGAAGAAGATCAAAAAATAAAAGAGATGGAGTCAGAAGGAAAACAAGTAAACAAAAGAAGAGAAGAATAATAAAGATGGTGATGCTGAGATGATGTTAGTCAGTCAAATGAAACTTACTGGTTCAACGGATGCTGAGAAACCAGCTTGACAGGAACCCAATCGATGATAACCCCATTTCTCTGAACAAAGATAAATGAAAAAGTGCAAGTTTTATATTTCACCAGCCAATAAGTGAGAGTAAAATTTATTGAATGAAAATAGTGAACGAAAGACATGATAAGTAGAGAATAAATGTGAGATGGTAAACATGCTGCCTTACCAGCAACTCGACATGGGGCCAATGGTGTTATCCCTGCAAATCCTCCAGTGGAAACGTAACAGAATCCAACTGGATCTCGTCGTTTGTTATTGTAGGAAAAGAAGCTATATCTTGGTGCACAAGCCTTTCAATTGGAATGTAGATGAAAATTGGAACATAAACACGAAAAAAAGACATGATAAGTAAAGATAAATGGTCCACAATTAAATGCAAGATTATTTGAATCATCGACATGAAAAGGATGATATTGATCCAAAGCTGAGCTGAAAGTCTGCAATTTTTTACCTTAATGGCTTAGAACTGCCCGATTTGATTTTAATTATACTCCAGTGTGAATGATAAAATTTATATATTTGCTGGTGATTAAGATTTTATCTTTTCCCTATCAAAGTTACATGTAAGATTACCCATTAACCCAACCTAGCCTAAAATAATTTCCAACATTTGTTGTTACTCTAATAATTTTCATTTTTTGTTTTTTAAATTGTTTCAGCTGGACTTTATGATCTGATCAAGGAACGCACACAGGTATCATTTTGTAAATGGTAAAAAAGTGAATTGATAATTAACGAGAGATTTGGAGCAATTTATCTTCATAACCAATCATACTATTATGTATTGGGAGTTCAAGCTCATCAAAATAATGGATACAAAGATCAGGTAAATGACAAAAAAAAATAATAATTTGCTTTTTAATCTATTTCACCAATTTTTTTGTTTCCTTTTCAATAGATTGACAGGACTAATTTAATGGATTATTATGTTAATGATGATAATCTCGATTGATCACGCAAACATTTAATAATGGCAACATAAATGGTGGAATGAATTAAGAGTCTAATTTCTTACCACAATTACTCCTGTTTTACCCGAACTTTGTACAGTTGCACCAAACCATTGACCTTCCTTTTCCTCTGTTTGAGCTCGTAAGCCATTTTTGGTTGTTATATTGCGGTTACCTGGACAGTAATTACAGTAATTAAAACGCAAGGAATAAAAGGCAAAAAAAAATCAATACAAATTCATCAGCTGGTAATCTGGATTAAAGACCAAGAAATCCTAATAATAATTCAACTGACACCTCATCATTATCATCATTAGTTTATCAGTGTTGCTGGTGTTGTATGTTAAATCAACTAGAAATGTTCAAGAAAAAAAGCAACTTTGAATATGGTTTCTGCTTACGAATGTGATAATGAGAATCATTCAAGATGAAAAGCTATCTAATCGTGATTTTGGTGAAGAAAATGATGAGAGAGGAAAAACATTCATTTTCTTTTCCTGTTTTGATTCTGTTATAATTTTGAGCCTTGATTAAGGTAACAAATTGTTAATCATGAACATTCTGAAGAATCACCTGTTGCATGTTGCGCATTTTCCCTCTGTTATTACACATTCAAAAAGTTACCATAATCAAGTTTTTTTGTGTTTTCATTTCGTTTTCATCATTCAAACATCACCATCATCATTATTATCATCATCATCTTCATCAAGACACAATCTGAAAAGTAAGCTGATTTGATGCAACAGTTAAGATGATGATGCAAAAGAGAAACAGCAGCAACAAGATCAGAAAAAAAAGTAGTAAAAGAAACATGTATTGAAAAGCAAAGCATGAAGAGCAAGGAAAACCAGAAAAAGAAACGATTAGGAGAGATGGTGATGGTGATGAGGATGAAAATGTTGGCTATGATGTGAGTAAGATGATGAAGAGAGGGAGAATGAATGAGACATCTTCAACATGCAAGTTTATTTGGTTATAATAATAAGTTGGGTTTTCTGGTTTTTCACCTGCTTAATGGCAATGATATTGAAGCTAACATTATTGAGTACAGTTTATCAAAAAAAATTTCACTTTATAATTTCTCAATTGAATGGTAAATGTGAGAAAAGGATTTAATCATCAAAATTACCAACTAAAACACCAGCAATACTGATTATGACGATAATGATGGTAATGGAGGGAAAAAAATGAAAGTAATTTCAATGCTGATTGCCAGAAACCGATAGTTAATATCAGCTGACGATTTGGATTGCTTTGACGTCGTTCAATTATATTTTGGAAAAATCAAAATCATATTCAAAATAGTTCCTTTTTCTTAATTGTACTTAATTTTGGGTAATTTTTTTCAAACAGGATTTTGGTTTCTCATTTAATGGAAATGTGATTTGGATTTGTCAACTAGAAGTTGAAATAGCCACTGATTATGACACTCGAATTTCTGGTCTTTCGCATCACTCGGTCTGACTCTGAATATGATTTTGTTTTCGGATTTGGTTTAATTGTTGAAAATGGCTTACCCGTTGTGTCAAAGGGTATAACCTGACAAAGCCCTGATGATTGGGGTAAACATTTGAAGACCGCTCCACCACGACTTATACCTTCTTGAGATCCTGGAGCAAGTGGAGCTCCAACAAGAAGCCTTAACGGTTAACAGAAACGAAAAGAAAGGTAAATTAAAATAACTGGAAAATTGATTAAACTAATTAATTGGATCTTTTTTTCAACAGTTGCACATAGCAAATAAATATGGAAAGAGCGTGTCAAGACTTTAACATATCCTCCCATTATCATCTTTGCCAGTGATCTTAACCATAAACACCAACAACAAGGGTAACTGTTGTTTGAGTTTCTGGTTTGAAGCATCAGTTGAAGAAAACCTAAACCCATATGGTGAGCACATGGATCCAAATCTTGAGATGTAATGGACAGTGACCAAGAGTGGACCAAAAATGAAGGCAACAACTTAACATTAACCTAATGACATTGATGGCTAAGATGAGGCTGCATCTCTATACAGCGTTTATTTAATTGGAAATTTTAACTAAACTGAAAGTGAAGAGGCAATCAATCAAATTTGTTTCTTTCATTTTAACCATTGGAAGTAGTTTTTGGACTGAATTACGTTTGATTGTTGCATTTAATACAGATAAAGAGGAGAAATATTGTGACAAATAGACAGAGAAATTGGAAGACTAAGCTTAAACAATCCACTTCAATTTAACTGATTAAACATTGGTCAAATTTTGATAGTTGTTATCATCACAATAATAGAAGGTCAGTGAAGATAAGATGAAAAAGATGAAAAATGTAAACAGTTGATATCACAGTAAAAAAAGAAAGCCCTTCAGATGATTGTTGACGATAGTCACTCACCAATAATTGTCTCCATCTTTATGTTGAGCAACAGCAAATCCATAATAGGTATCAGGGGTTCCACGATGGACAACAGCAGTTCGTAAGTCAATATTAAATGCCCAACAGTAGTTAATTAGGATAGCAATTAGATAAACAAACAAACCGTAATTTAATTTAATCCACATCGAACCAAGTAATCAAGCAAACAAACAAAAACCAAGTGAACACACACACAACAAAAAAAGACACAAAAAAGCCAAAGCTATGAACAAAGTCAAAGCTTTTAACCAAATTCAAAGAAGAAGAACCAAATTCCTAATCAAACTTCGGCCGATATTGGGATGATGATTAAGGATGATAAAGATGATGAAAAAGTAATATATCCAGATGATATTGAGACATATATTGAAACACGAAGGATGGCAAGTGAGAAGAAACAAAAAAGATGCAAATTTTTTCGTTAAAAAAAAGACAAACTCTTAAGAAGTTATGATTATGATGAAGACGAAAAGATAAAACTAAAGAAGAGCCAAAAAGATTAAGAAGAGTGAGTGAGAGAGAGAAGAGAGAGTAAAAAAGAGGCTGCAACTTTAAAACAGTATAAACTGGAAAGGAAGAGAAAGAGAAATGAAAAGAGAGGGAGGAAAGAAGAAGGAAGAAGATAAAGTAAGAGAAGGTCGGGCGAACGAAAATAGAAGATGAACAAATTGTTCATCCGAGATGTTGGATGAAAAGTGAAATTTTCAGTTGAATCATTGATGAAAGTGCAAAAAGAGAGAGCGAGCGAAAAGGCAAAATGAGAAAAAAATATCGAAAAAATGATGAAAAATGATGAAAATGATGATTCATTGATGGACTACAAAAGCTGTTATATTTGGTTAATATAAAAAAATATTCAACAGTAAAATTGATGAAATTTTATTCATGCAGCCGTTTCCAGTTGATTGAAATGTGAAGACAATGGCAAAGGTGATGATAATGGCAATTTAAATGATGATGATTGTGATGATAATTGTGATGATAATTGTGATGATAATGGGCATGATGATGGTTAAGATGAAAATGGATGAAAGGAGGAAAAAAAAGTAAACCCTTGACTTGGTTACAACAGAGGCCTACTGTTTGTTACATTTGGTGCAGTGAGAGTGACTCTTCTAGGTTGACGCTTCTTCTAGTCTCGGCCTAACCAGATTTACTTGGAATGATGTGGAAAGATGAAAATGTAAAAACAAAGTTGATGTTGAAAGAGATGGTGAGACGATGCAATGAACAGTATCATGAGAAATTGATTGAGCATGAGTCTAGCAATGAACATTTTGTGTCTCCTCTTGGATTATCATTTTCATCGTCTTCCTCAACTCATTCACTCCATTCCTTATCCATCTTTACACTCCTACGTTTTATCCTCATCCTTTTTATCCTTATCCTTCTCTGTTCATCATCCTTCATCATCATCATCCTCACCATCATCAGTTTCACCATCTTCATCTCATCTTCACCTTCATCTTCAACCTCTCAATCTCTTTGTCAACCCTACACAACCAACACACACACAACTAAAGTAACAAGTGAATTAACAAAGCAACAACAAAACACCAACACTGAACAACAGTAATGACAGAAGGAACAAGCAAACAAACAAAAGTTAAAGTTAAATGGCTTTTTGTGATTAACAAGCAAAAAATTAGACAAATTTAAATTCCCTTTCAATTTGTGATTTTATTTTCTCAAAATCTAAATCTAATTTGCTTTCCATTAATTTTTCGTATGTTGACTTACCTAAATGAAACAACTAATCACTATAATGTCAGGTGATTTAACCTTTCTTGATGATAATCTGTTTAATCAATTGCTTGGCAATTGTGATCAGGAAAATTTTGTATCCAACAATCATTTCAACGTTAACCATTCCATTGGCTTTTCAATTGGTCAAAACAGGGAAGATGAGGAAGATGATGAAAATGATGAATCAAACGTTAACAATCAAACAAATCATTCCATCATCTTTACAAATCCAAACAATTCCAGTCAACATCACAACATTATCATCATCAACAGTTCAATTGATAAAACTAGTCTCATGGATTCATACAACTGTTCATCTTCACCCAATCCACTGATTAACCCACTGGCACCCGGATTCGGGACTCACCAAGATTCCCAGGATGACCTGATTGACCATGAATATGAGACTGATTATTCAGTGTATGAAAATAAATCGGGTTTAGCTGAAGATATGAAATTTCTTGCCTCAATGCCTGAACTTTGTGATGTTACTTTTCTTGTCGGGGAAACTCGTGAACCCGTTTGTGCTGTGAGGTCAGTCCTTGCCGCTCGAAGCAGGTAAGCAGCAGCGATCATCTAAACTGGTCCCAATTTCATTTCAAGCTCAAGAGAAAAAATATTTTATAACTTTTCCGAATCTCAATTGACCATTAACTTGGAAAAGTTTTTTTTCCATTTCCAACTATTTTCTTTAGATTGCGTCAGCTTGATGCTTTTCATGAGTAATTCATTTCATTTTATCAATTTCATAACATTTGAATTTCTATTGATCAATGCAATAGTTGATTTACTGAAGACTGACGCTTCTGGACAAACATTTTTCGAGAATTTTTTTCTCAAAACAATGGCTTAAAGGAAAAAGAACTTTGAGATCAAGAATTTTTCAACTTTAATTGTTGCTTTTCAATAAAATTTGCGATTCTTTTTCCATATCAAAGCATCTTTCAATTCTGTCTTGGAAATTCTGATTTTTGAGATTACAATTTACTCTTGAATTTAAATGATTTCAGGCGTAGGGAGATTGGAATCAGACTTTGAAGGTTGGACTTTGATAAAGACTTTTCAAGTTATCAAGTTTAGTCTATTCTGTTGAGTTTTATTATTTGTTAAACCATGTTAATTTAATATATTTGCCATGAATTTTGTCTCTAACTTTTGAAGGAAAAGTCAATGTCTTACAATTTTTCATTAAGTTAATTCACTCCAATCAAAGCCACCTTTAGTTATAAGTTATAACCTGTGGAAGCAAATTATCCGATAAAAGGTTTAAACTGATGAAATTGTTTTTTTTAATCAAGTAATTTCATCAATCTTTGCATGAATGAACAGAGTTAAAGCTGTCTAACGAGACTCAATCCTTTCTCAGTAGCTATTACATTCACCTTAAATTTTCAACTTTAAATGAAGTTAATAAAATGATTTGAGCCATTTTACAGCCAATTAATAAGCATTTTGTGACTAATGTCTCGATTGACCGAATACAGATTAATAATCGAAATCACTTTAATTTTGAAAGATAATCGAAGTGTCCAATGATAAAGACATTGAGTTGTTTTCGCATCAAAATATTTTCTTTTACTTATCATGGTTTTGTCCAATTTTATCAGCATTTTACCCTCATCAATATTGCTTCGAGTCTGATTGAGGAGAAATTTTCTTTTCAGGGAATCTTCCAAATCACAATCATTCCAAGAGCAATTTATGAACGATTTGCAAATGAAAATGTTCATCATCTCAGAATCGATAGTCTGAGTGTTTCACATATTACTAACCGATTCAGGTCCATAAGTCGTATCAAACATGAACATTGAGAGAAAACTCTTTTACTTGAAAAAAGCAATTGAAATGAAAATTCTGTGTAAAAATTTCGATTAAAATGATTGTTCGATGGAAACATTGAGATACTTTCGAACATGAAATTATCGAAAAAGGTTAATGTTTGTTTTCTTTCGATAACTGATCAACTGTAACATTACACTTCACTTGTTATACTTTGACTGATAGCTTCTATTGTCGCTCAGTTTTTCCCATGTTTACACAAATTAAGAAGATTAAATTCTTGATTTTACTCTAAATTTACATGGTATCATGTTCAATGTTGATCTGAGTTCTCATCATTTCTTTTCCTTTTTTCATCCCTCATTCCTCTTTCCTAATCAGAACATTTCACAAACTTCTTTTTGCCCATAAGCAAAATCAATTAAGTGTCCTATCAACAGTGACCAACAATGTTCAACAAAACAACGGAACCAGTAATAATAATGGCAACAATAACACTGGTAACAACAATAACATCAACTGTTCCAATAATAATACAAGCCCAGTGAACAACAATAACAGTGGCTATGCTTTAGGCAATTTATCATCAGTAATATCACCTCGTGAAGGTGATAGCGGGGAAACTCATATTAGCAATGATTCTCAACGAGAGAAACAATTGAAATATTCAAAGAGCAAAAAATTTCGTGAAACAAGCAAAGAGACTAAATTGAAATTGTTTTTAAAACGAAGCTCCGAGCCAGCCTTAAATGGACTTCCAGTCAACCATCATCATCAGGTAAATGAATCAATTTAATCGTCAATTTCATTTCCATTTGAATTTCATTTTCAAACCATTTTGTGACTTGAAAAGTTGACATCAAATCAACAAGTTAAACAAGAATGAAATGTTTACAATCAAATCAAACCACAGAAAACTGTTAATGTTTCAAACATCATTTTAAACTTGATAATCAAAAGTAACAAGTCGAGTTGACATTTAATGGACATGTTTATTAGGATGAAACAGCTTTGAGCCAATTCTGAACTTCTGTTGAATTGAACTAACCAAGAATAATGTGAAAGGCGATTTCAATGAACAATTACAAAGGCAATGAGGAAAGTATGAAGCAATGATTTTCATTGAAATTTCATTAAATGAATTAGGAAATTTAATTTAATTTGTCAAATGAAAAACTGTTTAAATTGTTATCGACAATATTAGGGAAAAGGTGATGAAAGGAAAACACAAAATTGTGTTGAAAATAATCAAAATTTTTCATCTTTATATTCATTTCTTTCAGCCTAAGCTTGTTTCCACCTTTTCCTTTACTGTCATGAAATGCTTTCCTATCTCAGGTGTATTAGGAATAGCAAACAAACAAACAAAAAGTGTAAGAAAATTTTTTAAAAAGACAACAAAAACAGAATAAAATTTCTCAACAGGGAATAACTCGGGAAAGACTGGGAGTGAAAAGTGAATTCTCATCATCAAACTCTTTTCTCTTTCCTTTTTTTCTTCTATTTTTTTCCTCTTGGATTGAAGTGTTGAAGATTAAACAGGTGAGAAGGCAGAAGAAGAAGAAACTAATCGATAAGAATGAAGATGAAGCAAAAGTAAACTGTTAAAGAATCGTAATAATATCGTTGGAAAGTGTCAACATTTTTCACTCGATTCTTAACGCCTTTTCATTTTCATCTTTTCCAATCAACAGATACAATGAGATGTAAAGTGTTTGCAAGCGAAAGTAAAAAGGTTTGAAAATGAAACATTTAGTCATTCTGTTGGTGAAATTTCAATATTGAAAGCTCTTCAAGAATTTTGTAGCATTTCCATGAAAAGTAAATGAATGTCAATGAAATGTTTATTGAATCATTAAGTTCTGCGGTTGAACATGATTTGAAAGAAAAGTGCGATTTGTTATCAAAGAAGCTAATGAAGTTCATCTTTTTTTTCTGTTCATGTTTTACCTCTTTTCATTGGAAAATGATGTTCCTTTGGATACTCTTGGAATTGACTGGAAAATGTTGATCATTATCACCTTCATCTTGATCAACACTTGACACACCAAAATCAGTTTACTGTTCAAAGCCATCGAACCATGATAATCGAGGAATTCGAACCTGATGTTTTCCGTCAACTGATTGAATACATTCACACTGGATGTGTTACTCTTCAAGCAAGAACACTGTTAGGTAATATTGTTGTTATCATCATCTTTACCTTCATCCTTTTGTTCATCCTCTTTTGTCATTGTCTTCTTTGCCCTCTTCATCCCAACACAAAGCATCATTGAAACACTCTTAGACTTGTGAGACAGAGTGGAAGCAAAAAATTCAAGTTTCACTAAAAAAACAAATGTGAAACATTGAACCACAAAAGCAACATGAACATGTGAACAACTTGAACCTTGAATTATCAATTGACTTTTTTTTACTCTTTTTTACTGTTTCGCACTCAATTTGATTCGCAGTTGATTTGACGTGTTAATTGTTTGCCAAGCATATTTATGTTGATTGACTTGACGGGAATAGTGAGTGTTGCAAATTTGGATAAATTGATTATTTCAATTTTACCTTTGATCGATATTTGTACTTCTGCTTCTCGGTTTGTTCATGCAACAGGTTAATAATGATTCTTGATTGTGTTTGCTCAAGCTTTTTACTTCTTTGTTTTATTCAGTGTTCATCAGGTTAAATTCATCAACCATTCATTGTGACCATTTGAATCAATTAATGAAATGCTAAAGGGTAAAATTTGATCAAGTTAATGGATAGAAATTGTTTTTACCCATTTGACTTCGCTTTTTTTCATCTACCATTACATTAAAATACAATGATTTTAAATGACATTTTCTTGTTTTTAGTGTTCGCCTTCAATCAAGCTCTTTCTGATTTTCATTTTTAACCCCCGAAAGCAATCGATTTTTAATCAATTTGTTTACCTTTACAATGGGTAAACATTGATTGTTGACTCACAGCACATTAAAAACATGGAATGCAAAATTTTCACTCAAAATGAAAACAAATGTTGTTATTGCGTGCCTTGAGCAAGTAAAGACAAATCATTTTTTCCAAGCTTCTTCTCTGCTTTTTGCTTCCAACGAAATAACACCACAATGCATATGAAAATATTAAACAAATTTGAGTGATTTCACCAAACATTTCTGGCTCAATTATTTAATCGATTTTATCAAGTGAACAAAAGATTGGTTGAAATCGATTTTTCAAAATCGATTTCAACGACTATTGTCACATGGATGCTCAAATAAGAAATGACGGGATCTGTGATTTTCCAATTCAATCCTCAAATCGGGGATAATTTCTTTGAAACTTTTCTTAAATGATTGATAAAAGATCGAAGTCATTGAAAAGTACCCAGGTGCTTTCAAGAACTAAATGAGTACAAATTTTTTAATTATTTTTAGGCAATCTTTTTAGTACACTTTTCAGAGTTGGGATTGTCGATCATAGAAATATCTTTGTTATTTTATTACTATTATCTGCAGCCGTGGATAAAATAGCGAATAAGCTCTAAGGCTTTAGTAAGAGCGCTCAGGAGGAGATTTTGGTGGAGCTGATAAAAAAATTATAACAAAATCAGATGATACAAGTAGAGTTTTTTATCTATATCAGTTTAATCAGCTCCTTCACTGGATTTACACAACACCAGCAGCAACAACCATCGATATTGGCGATACTGGTTGTTTTGCAGCTCGAATGATGATGACAATGCTAATGATGAGGATTTGAACGTACCTAGCGATAGTGAGCCATATGTTCCTGACAATCGTCAGCAGCTAGTGACAATACAGTGACACCCGATGACAAGCCAGTAATTGCAATATAAGACGTTCATAGCAGGTCTAGGGAAATAATAAAATGATGAAACTTTAACCGTAAATTGATTTACAGATGCAACATACAGGCTTACGAATTCAAAATATTTTAATTGTAATAACAGTTTGGTAGGTTAAATAGTGCCCAGATTATATATTGTGATCAGGATATTTTGCTTTGCGCATTTTTGTATTAATATGGTTAATTCCTTAATCATCGATAATATCGATGAATTTCCGTTTTTCAGCAGCTGTTGATGGTAATGATGAATTACTAGTTGTATTGACCATCACTGCATTTAGATAAGATATATATTTCAATTGTAATTATCTGCACAAATTTTACAGTGATTCATGTTTATAAATATTCTAACTTTATGATTCAAGAAAGTATGAATATTCTGCAAAAAATATCAAACGCAAAATTCTTCAGCTCGTGGATATTTTTACATTTTATTTGTCCCATTAGCTAATAACCTTGAAAAATTTTCTACGTTGTTTTCAAAATGTAAACATGTTAATTATGAAAAAAGTTTGAAGAGTGTCATTAAAAAATAATTCAAAAGATTGTTAATTATTTTCGCAAAATATTTTTGTGTGAATGAAGGAGAACCGGGAAAATTCTGTAGCTCAAATAGTGAGTTGAAAACTGATGAAAAGTGCTCTCGAGCCAGCCATTTTATACTAACCCAGTAAAATAGTCCATTTTGACAATTGCATTAATTCAATTGATTATTTATGGGAATTCGATCATTTGTCAGAATCGATTTTTTAACCAGACAGCATTTATTTACATGATCAATAAAAGCAATGCACTATTGACTGTTTTTCAAGATTAATCTTTTACCTTTACATTTCAAAGTTAAACTCATTGAACCGGAAACTTGTGGGTAGATGAAGATGAGTTGAAACAATAAGATGGAAAATATTTTACCCTTTCAACTGATAATGTGATGTAACTTTCATTTGGGATGAAACATTTTCTGTAACATTACACATATGAATACATCTATTCTAGTAGCTCAGTGTATTCATCTGAATTATCATCATGAAACTTGAATCTTTCTTTTTTAATACTCTTTCATCTTGTTGATCCAATTTTCCAACATCAACAAAATGAGATTAATTTTTTCCCCAGCTAATTTGTCTAACCATCATCATCATCATCATCACTTCATTTTTTTCAAAATTCACTGTTAAACCATCTCAAGTATAAAAGAGGTGAACATTGAAAATTTCAATTTATAGCGTGAAAAAGGGTAAAATTTTCACAGTTGATTCAATTTGATTATCACAAACATGATTGTAATAAACTGTAATCAATGTTCATTCAAGTGAGATTGTAAAATAATGGTTGAAATGATTGAAGGCAAACTCAAACTCCCAGCAAATATTGTGATCAGTTAATGTTATCAAAAAGCGAAGCATAAAGTAGATAAACAGAAATGATGGAAAAAAGAAGAAAAAAGAGAAAATTTTGAGAGAAATGTCGACAATGTAAATTAATTAGTTGCCTTAGGGTTTACATTTCACCTTTTTTTACCTTGTTACCTTAATGATGATTATTTTAATCAACAATCGCTACAAACTTCTGGTTATTGCCATGGAAACTCATGAATATTCTGAATAGTTTACATTATTTCACAGTTGATTTTTGTTTTTGACACGAAACAATTTCTTCTCAACCTTGAAGCTTGCTGTTGTAACCAGAGATTCATGATGTACCCATGAAGAAATTAGGAAATGAAGAAACAATTGTTTTCATTTTTTCCACTTTTCGGTGAAATATGAAAAAATCTGTTGGAATCGAGTCAACATTTTTTGATTTGGAAAATTTGTTGTCTCAAATGTTGACCTAAAAATTGATTGAAATTAAAAATTTCAATATTGGCTAATCAGATACAAAGTTGACAAAATTTTCATTTTTCATTCATTCATTTTAACCATTTTAAAGGAAAGTAAAAATAAATAATGAACTGCAAATGCAAATCATTATCATGATTGAATGTGATTCAACAATTTATCAAATAAAATGTTTTCTCTCCTGATTCTGTTTGAGAATTAAATTTTCCAATTCAACGATTCAGTAAGATTATGAATATAATTGGTTAATGTGATTGTTGATGAAACAAGTAAAGCCAGCAAGTTTAACAGCGTTAATAATGAATCTATTGACTTTAATAATTTCATCAAAGCCAAAGCTCAACATTTGAACACGAATCAAGTTGAGCATATAATTTCAGATTTAATGTAATCTTTTAATGGCAAAATTGCCCTTTTAGATTTACATGAATTTCCAATTCGTTCAGTTCAATATCGACTATAAGTTCAATTTTCAGGTCAAAAACATTTTCCAATCAATAAAACATGTTGAAGCTTTCAAAAAATCCAAGCTAATCTAAGGCCAAATCAGCCCATATACAAGTCGAAATTTCAACTATTAAAAGTTCAGCATTTAGAAAAAAACTTAGCGAAAAATTCGACTTTCCTTCTCGAACTGAACTCGGCCCAAGTCTTGATACTACCAGGTTTAACATGTTAACTACACATGGAATCACTCGTCTAGGAATGAATAAAATTATGGATTTTCGCTCAAGCCGACACTTCGAGTGTGCGATTCGATCTCATTTCGATGTTTCGGTTTCGAATCAATTTTGAATTTTCTAACCAATCGAAAGGGAAAATTTTTTCTTATCAAGAGATTCATCTTTTTAATTGGAAAATTGAAATTTTGTGAGAAATTCTGAAAAAAGTAAATTCGTAACGATTTCGATGGGGAAAATGGTGAAAATTTTGTTGACGATTAGTTTGTTAGTGAATTTTTCAAGGTCTTTTAATGATAAACCAAACTCTTTTCATTGTTGCATTTCTTGAGTCGAGTAAATTTATTCAGCAAATCTTTCCAAATTGCTCAAAATTATTATTATTGTCATGATATAACAATGAAATGATACTTTGAAAAGTAAAAGGCTGGAAGGAAGACGAGAAAAAAAGGAAAGAAAAGAAAGAAAAAAGAAAAAGCAAGATTTAGAAAAATAATGTTATTATTAATGCTGAACAAGAGATTTAACTTGAATAAGATGATGAAAAAGTTCTTGTAGAGACTGAATAAAATGCAATATTTTTTTCTCTATCAAACCATTATTTATTCAATTTCTATCAACATTATCATTCAACTATTTACCTTTATACTCTTTCACCATGATTCATTCAAAATCAAGAGTAAACTCATGAATGGAAACAAAATTTTCCTCCAACATTATTCCTCGAAACAGAACAAGAAAAAAATGAATTTTCCATGAAAATCATAACGAACTTTGCAATTGGTTCAACTTTGAATTGCAACCAATCAACAGG